GGGCTCCCCTCCTCTCGCCCGCCCCCAGGGCCCAGGCCGTTGCCAGGGAGACGGGCCCTGCAGACCGAGGGGCGCTCGGCCCCTTCCGCGCCCCGTGCATCTTCACCGCCCGGCCCTCGCAGCCCCTCGGCCGGGGGAGGGGCGAAAGGGCAGGCGGGCCAAGGGGGGTCCCCCAACCCACCTGCGGGCCAGGGCCGCGACACCGGGGGACAAAGACACCCGGAACCACCACAGCCGCCGCTGCCGCCGCCACCGGAAGCGCCTCTCCGGAAGCGCGACCGCTGGTCGGAAGCTGCCACCCTCCCGGATATGCTCCCTCCCTCCTCTCCACCGACCTCTCCCTTCCCCCACGCCGGCCGGCCATCCCCCTCCGACTGGGGAACGGAAGTGCGCCTTCCCCGATCGGATGCGCGTTAGGAAGCCGCGTCTCGATGGTGTCTTCGCTTAAGTGTCCCATTAGGAAAACAGGCTTCAGAGAATTGGTTCCTTGTCCAAAGACAGCTGGAGCTGGACCACCAAACATAAGGGAGCACCCACCAGCCCCCGCTTGCCTCATCCTGGCAGACCCCAAGACTGCAGCAGCAAGAGAACCAGCCCCTCCTGACTGGAGGAGGAGAATGCCTGAACAGTGGCCATTTCCAGGAGACATTCTTGTGTCCGACTCAAGCCAATGACCTCATCCTAGCCCTGCCCTTCCATTGACAGCATCTGAACACACACCTCCCCTGCTCCGAGGACCCGCAGGAGACTGACCTTCTCCCCTCCCTCAATTAACAAAGAGCCAGGAGCCTACAGGCTATGGTAAGATAAACCACCACAATATTCAGGTAGACATTTCCTTGAGTCCTCACAACAACCCTGTGGGGTAAGCAGGTCAGGAGTTAGTGCCCTAATTCTTAGATATGAAACCTCAGACCTCAGTGAAATGGCCTGCTCAAAATTTTGCTGCTAATAACTGGCCATTTTAGTCCTGATTGGCAATCCCAGTCCCCTCTTATCCTCTGAGCTTCCCATCATCCCTCCAGCTAGTCTCCCTTCAACACCCATACCCTCCCCTTTCGTATTCATTTAACATACGCAAAGCACCTTGAGACAGTTTAATCTCACTTTATCCTCATAAGCCTGTGAGGTAGGTAGGGCAGGCATCACTACACCATTTGGGAGATTAGGTGGGAAGCTATGACTCAGAAAAGTCAAGGGACTTTGTCAGGGTCTCAAAGCTGGTATGGACCTCTGGCTTCCGCTTTGCCGTGTAAAGGCTAGTATGGAGCAGAGCAGCTGAGAACAGACCTTGACGGTTACTCTGCTGTTCCCCACGTTGTGCTTGACCCTTCCGCTCCTGGTGCAGTCTCCATGGGCAAGACTCAACGCTGAGGCAGACAAGATAGCGCCCTTCTCTGTCCTGGGGCTGCCCATGCAGGGATGTGGAGGAGAGCAGGCCTCCAGAGCAGTAACTCCCCACTGAGGAAGGAAGGTTTTACCCTTCTGCAGTGACCTCCCCCAGAAGGCCAACCTTTTGAGTGAATGATTCAGGAGAGATGACTGGATCCAGCCAGGTCACAGCGCTGATGGTCTCAGAGAGAGAGAGACATCCTTTTGCACAAATACACATCTGCAACATGTGGGCCCCAACAGGTCACCATGCCAAACACACTCCATGGACGCCTGATCAGTAAGTTGGTTCACATTGCCTAAGCCCAGGGATTTCTGGCAACCAGGGAGGAGCCCGGGAGCTGCTGCACGCTGGGGCCCTCAGGAAACCAGGGCTCCTCTGCCAAGCAGCTCAGGGCAGAAAGTCTCAGCCCTTGCCTCAGAGAGAAGGGAAAGCATCAGCAGCTTTTCCCGCCAGTGTCCAGAAGCAGCAATAGGGCAGAGGGCACTCCTCCACCCAGGGTCACGTCCCTGCACCAGGAGGTCTCAGCACACGGAAAGATTTTTTGCTCGTTGCTTCTTAACCACTAATGATGGCATAAAGGTCTTCCGGAGGGGATGGTACGGAGGCCTTTCAGGGAGGTCTCTTGACTCAATCCTGTGGAATGGAAAGGAGGCATCAAGCTAGGAGGAGGAAACAAAGGTAGCAGTGGCCCCAGAGTTGATGGAGCATTGCTCATCTGCTGTGGGAGCCTGGGGATATTAACTGACATGGTGCTTCTTCCCCCTGGAGAAGTAATCAGTGTAACCCCTCATCAGCCACGGTGGAGTCCTTTGTCTGTGCCCCATCTTGCTTTCCCAGCGAACCTGGGGAGGTAGCTGAAGTTTCCGCTGTGAGGGGTGAGGGCTTGCTGGGCTGGCGTGAGGAGATTTCTCATATTCTGGTCCTGGCTCTGCCACTGATTCACCGTGCGGCCTCGGGAAAACAGCTTCCCTCCCCAGCCCAGACGCCAGCCACCTCATCTGTAGATGGGGCGCTTTAACTACTTTCTGTTTCTTCCAGCACCCTCTCCAAGACTATGTCTCTCAAACTTCACAGGGACAAAGACAACAACTGGCAGTCCAATCTCTGCATCCTGGCCCATCAGGCTCCTCCCTCTGCCCTAACCCGGGCTGGGCCACAGGACTCACCTGGGGGCAGGGCCAGCAGGAGGGGCAGGGGGCTCAGGGTGTCGAGGGCTCCTCCAGCGGATCGGGTTGAGCAGGACCTTGACCTTGTTCCAGTGGGAGAGATCCCGCTGAGCAGAGGGTGAGGGGGTCACCACAAAGGCCCTCCCCACACATACCCCCAACCAAGCCCCCAGAGACAGCTGTCACCACAGCTGGGACAAATCACCTGCTCCCATCAGGAATCCTGTCATTTTCTCAGAGTTTCTGGGCTTCGGGGTATCTACACATCCCAACCGCCACCCCCACCCCATCCTATCACCCGCCCCCACACATATCCATCACCTACCTTGTGTCCCTGGGAGGATGGAAAGATGTGAGCTGGCTCTGCTGGGGCCTCTGACAGCCTGGGAGGCTTGACGCTGGGCACGCCTGCCTTTAGCGGGGAAGCTGCTTTTGCCCCTTCAGAAAGAGAATCAGGTTACCCAGGGCCTGGAACAGGAAGCCACCCATGAAGCCCAGAGCTCAGGGGGTCTGCCTGGGGAGTCCTCGGCAGGCAGGACACAGAGGGAGACACAAATGCCCCTCACCTGTCTCCTGTGTCTGGCTGAGCAGCTCCCATGACCTGTGTGCGTCACTGCCTGGGGCACGAGAAGGTGGAGGTGAAGAGGCCAGGGCCAGCCCTTCCTCCTCTTCAGGATCCTGTGCATGGACAGACGGGCACTCCGGGTCTGACCAGAGGGCTGAGGCTGGGCTGAAGGGAGCCCTGGTTCAGGAGTCCCACTCCTCTTCAGCCTCCCCCACTCACTGGACCGCCCCCGCCCACCCACCCTACAGCTCACTCACCCCAAGGGGCCTCTGGGTCTGCAGCTGCAGGTGGAGCTGCTGGAGCCTGGCCATCTGCTCCAGCACCTGGCACAGGTGTTCCAGGTAGCAAAGCCCCTGCCCTGGGCAGCAGGCCCAGGCTCCAGGCCCCAAGCTCCCCACCTGTAGGACACAGTGAGGTAGAGGAGACTTCGGAACTCAACTAGACACCCACCGTAGGCGGCCAGCAGATGGGGCAGAATGGGCAAAGAGAGTAGGAACACACACCCAGCTGGCCTCCCAATGCCCAGCCAGACAGGCCCTGTCCCTGCCACCTCCACACAGCTGGAAGTGGGGTGAGGCAAGAAGCTGTGACACAACCCGTCAATTAGGGGCAAGGAACACCTCACCCAGAGAGAGCTCCAGGGAGAACAAGTGGGGAGGCCCCCGCCAGCCCCCCGGGGAAAAGGGCCACCTCCATCCACTCCTCACCCAGCCTGAGATCTGGCACTCACCACCTCTGCTTCCTCTGGGCCTGACCCTGGGTCAGCTCCTGGCTTGGTGGCCTCCTGATCTTCTGCTCCAAAAAGGAGCATTTCACACTCAGGCTTGCTTGGTGGCTTCGGGGAGCGGTGGTGTTGTGACAAGCTGGCAAGGGAAGTCGGGAGCTGGCGGGACTGCTCCAGGACCTGCTCCAGCTTATGGCTGGCCAAGAGCTGGCCTAGGTGGGCAGGAGGTGTCATGGCAGCAAGGGCCAGGGGCTCAGGACTCCCCATGGGCTCAAAGTCCAGAGAGTCCTGAGAAAGGCCCGGTGAGGTGGCCAGAGGGCTGTCCCCAACCACCATCTCCACTCCTGAGTCCCAGGAGGCCAGATTGAGAAGCGGTATCTGCCTCCCGAGACTTCTCAGCTCTCCACCCCGCTTCCAGGAGTCTGACGAGCACCCTTGAGCAGCATCTGGGATCCGTCTGTAGGTGCTGGTGACTCTGGCCACTACACAACCTTGTGCCTGGTCCTCACCAGCCCCATCTGCAAAGAGAGTCAGTATAAGGCTGGGCAGGCTGCCCCCCACGCCCCCAGCATTCCTGGCAGCTGGCAGCATTCCCCAGGGAGGAGTGTCTGGGCCAGAGGTGAAGGGAGGAGACTGGACAGGCACAGCCCCACCCAGATCTCTCTCCAACCCTGGCGGACACATTAGCATGGGCTTCCCTTTACAACAGTCATTGTTAGCGATCACAAGCCCATGACATGGGCTGTATGGTAAGCAAAGCCTCGCAGCTCACATTCATCAGCTCCTTGGATGGCCTAGCTTCCTTTGAGGGCGTAAGTGCTTTCTTCCGGGGGGCCCTCGTACTCTCACCCCTGGGGTTGGCCTAAGACCTCCAAGTAATAGGTGGGGAGCTGCAGCCTCTTCAACTGCTCCCCAAGAGGGAGTGTGACTGTGCCCCCTCTCAGGGAGAGGGGGAAGGGCACAAAGAAGGAAGCCTTGGGCCGCCCCGTGGCTTGGCAGTTAAGTGCACGCGCTCCACTGCTGGCGGCCCGGGTTCGGATCCCTGGCGCCCACCAATGCACCGCTTCTCTGGCCATGCTGAGGCCGCGTCCCACATACAGCAACTAGAAGGATGTGCAGCTATGATGTACAACTACCTACTGGGGCTTTGGTGGAAAAAAATAAATAAAATTAAAAAAAAAAAAAAAAACAAAGAAGGAAAAAAAAAAGGAAAAAAAAAAAAAAAAATAAAAAAAAAAAAAAAAAACAAAGAAGGAAGCCTGGGGTCCCAACTGCCATCAGGATGCAAGATGAAGTCTCTCTGGAGCTCCTGAGGGAGGGTAATACAGATAACAACAGCCATAACCATTTGGAGCTTTTGTTCTTTTAAGTGTGAAACAAGGAAGATCTTGTGGAGAGTTGAAAAGAAAAAACTTAAACGGAAGCAAGGGAACTAGGGGGTAGGAGAAGCAGCTATCACTCATTCACTGTCGCCTCTGTGCCAGGCCCCCTACGATCGGGGTGCCGCAATTGTACTGATGCAGAAACTGAGGCTGGAGAGGATGGAGGCCTCAGCCGTCCCACAGCCGGCCACGAGGGAGAGCTGGATGCAAACCAGGCCCCTCTGGGCAAGGAAGTCGGCCAGGAAGTCGCCCTGCACGGCTCCTTCGGAAACGGGTCCGCCGCCGTGCAAGGGGCTTTTCCGGACTACCAGCTGGGGCAGAGGGCCGGGCGGAGAGGGATCCAGATCGGCAATTAGAGGGAGGTGGGCCCGGAAAAAGTGGGATGGAGGTGGTGGCTGGTTTAACGCCAAAAACCAAAGGGTCTCCAACGTGCAAGGCGCAATCACTCGGCCCTCCTAAGGGAGGCGGCGAGGAGGGCGCCTCGGGCGGGTGTGCCAGGTGTGACGGGGAGCGCAGACACGGGCCCGGGCGCCGGGGTCGGCTCCAGGGCCGGAGACCCCAGCCGGCCTGGGGGTGGGCAACTCACCCCGGCCGCCGAGCGGCTCCACAGCGAAGACGCGCCGCCGGCCCAGCATGGCCCCGCTCCCGGCCCCGACGCGGCGCCCCAGCCGCTGCTGTGGCAGCGGGAGCGAGCGATCCGGACCGAGCAGTCGCGCCGGCGGCTCAGCTGGTGCGTCCGGCCCCCGGTGGGCGCGGCCCCCGGACACTCCCAGGGTTGGGGAGGGGGAGGGGAAGGGGCGGGGGGTGCGCAGGTGTGGGCGCGGGCAGGGGCTGGGGGCTGGCGCGCCAGGAGGGGCCGCAAGACGGGTGCTGGGCGGCCCCCAGTGCTGGCAGGACGGGGATGAAGGCCCCCATCCGCTGTCCTTCGTGCCCGGGACAGCGTCTGCTCCCACCCCCGGCCAGCCAGCGCAGACCCCGCCTGGGGACGCCCTGCGGGTGGAGGCGCGGGGTCACGCCGCCCCCCGGTTCACTCGCCGGTCTGTCTTCCTGCCGCCGTAACGAGCCGCGCGCGGGGCGCGGGGACTGGACGGGAGCGCGGAAGTGCCGGCCGTGGGAAGAGCGGAGCAGGACCCGGGCGTCCCGGCTCTTCCCACTGCGTGCCCGGGGCAGTCGCTCAGCCACTCAGAAGCCTGGTGCGGTAAAAGGGGGAAATGATTCCTGCCCCCGGGAAGTCCTTTCCAGCAACTGCAGAGCGCCCTGGCTCCTGGGCTAGATCTGAATCCCCTCCTCGCCCCGTTCTTCTTCCTCACCCGGGTACCCTAAAGCTGGGGGCTGGGTGGGACTTCAGGATCTGGGGAAGAAGTGAGCCAGGGGACAGGGGAGCAGCCTGGAGGCGTTGGAAGTGTAAATGCTTCTCTGTCCCCACCCCAACCCTCTTTTGGTCCATGGGAGTCTACCCCCACACCCTGAAAGGGGGCTGGGAGCCCAGGCAGCTGCTGAAGGTGAGACTGTCTGATAACCAGACGGGCTGGTGGCCTCCAAGGAAACTTCATCCTCCTGAGGAAGGTGATCCGGCTGGAAAAAGATCCCAGCAGGATCCCAATCCCCTGGAGGCAGATAAGGGAGCTGGCGGATGCGCAGACCTGCCCCAGAGCCTCTGGGGGAGGAGGCTGGGGCTGGAGCCAGTGGGAGGAAGCGTCTGTTCGCTGGGAGGGAGAAGACAGTCTGCCCCCCCACCCACCTTCTGCTCCTTGCTCCTTCCTACCCTTCCTGAACCACCCTGGCAGGAGCCTTCACCAAAAAACCACAAACTGCAAGATTCTAACTTTATAAGATGGGGAAACGGAAGCCCACAGCCAAGCCCCCAGAAGGAATAAAGACCAAGTGCCTGAATTACAGGCCATCTCTTAACAACTTGACTTTAGGCCAATCCCATCCCTGCTAATCATGAGTCCTCTGGGTTGCCCCTCCAGACCCTATCCTCCTGGACAGCACCCCCACCCCGTTCCTCTTTTCCAGATACAGAGAGGGAAACAGAGAATGCTGGGCCTGGCAGGAACTGCTGTATGCAAGTCCAACAGGATATGTGGCACCAAACCCCCCAGGCCGTGCCAGACCCCATCCCAGCCCTCCCTGGGTAGGAGGGTAGGAGGGCTGGCCAGTCAGGTGGCTTCCTCCCTCCAAAGTAAGAGAGTGGGGAGGTGAAGGGAGGGAACCTTTGCTAGATCTCACCCTGAATTTGAAGAATGTAAGGCCAGATTCCAAGCAGTCTCCGTGGTGACTCGGGCAGGAATGCATCTGGGACAGGAAGCCCAGTCAGCAGGAGAGCAGTGTCAGCACAAGGCTTGACGTGGGCTCAAAAGAATGCTCCCCCCCACACACACACACCCCAACGCACACTTCCCTCCAGGCCAGCTCCACCACCCACTGCATGCAGATATACTGGAGCCCTCTTGGTGATTGGGGATCTCCTTGGGGGCCACACACTTCCCTCCCATCTGCCTTCTGCTGCCCTGACTGTGGGTGCCCTGTGTGCAGAGCTGGGCCAGGCCTTCACCACCCAGAGAGCTCTATGGCCCTGCACAACCCCCTCCGCAGTTTCTCCTTCACCCGCCTACTACCCACTACCAGAGAATCATCTCCCTCTCAGTGATGCCTGAAGGAATGGGAGGGGCAGCACAGCCAGTCCTGGCTGCCACCTCAGGGGTGAGCAGCTGCCTGTGAGTTCCTGAGACACAGGGTGGCCGGAGCAGAGTCATCCCTCAGACTGAGGCCAGGGATGCCCCACTGCCCCTCACCCTCCGAGGGGAAATTCCCAGCTTCAGGAAGTGCATTTCCTACAAGCTCAGCACTGAGCTAGGCCCTGTGGGAACAAGGGCAAAGCCAAGAGCCTGGGGGAGCTCCTGCCAGACTGGAGATGGCTCGGAGCTATGGCCACCTCCCTTACGGCCTGGAAGGCTGCCCCTGGTGATGGAGGGGCCAGAGCACTCCCAGGCAAGCCAGAAACCCAGCAGTCAGGCTCCAGGTTTCACCCCAGCCCCCTTCCCTTACCAGCGAGGTCCTTGGGCCAGTCACTTATCCTCCTTGTCCTCAGTTTCCTCATCTCTAGAACAAGGATGACGACAATACCCCCCTCAGCACTGTGAGGACTAGGGTCAGGGCACTTAAAGCACTTCTGGCGCTTGAGAATCACCTGGCTGTGTAACTTTGGGAAAGTCACTTTCTCATCTCCATCTGAAGGGGGCTGTGTTAGGTGCTCTCTTGGACCACTTCTACCTCAAATCTGTCATCATTTCTGAAGTTATTCCCCAAAATGCAGAAAAGAGTAAAGAGGGCCCTGCAGTCGCATAACTGGGTGGCCTCCCCCCACCATGTCTGGTGGGGTTGAGGGCTGGGGCAAAGATCAAAGACTGCCCTCAACTGGCTCTGCTGACAAACAGGCTTGGCTAATAACTTCATCTTCCAAAGAAGCTCACTGCCAAGCTCGGGCTCCCGCGTGGCTACAGAGAGCTCTGGAACTGAAACCCTCAGCCCCCTGGGAAGACAGCTGGCTGCCACAACTAGAGGTGGGTTTTAGCTTGAACCCATCCAGCCCTGGCCTTTGAAAGGCGTTCACCAGCTCGCTGGCACTCCCATTTCACAAGTGTCTCCACTCCCCATCTGTTCTCCACTCCTTAAAACACTGCGGGCCCAGCATCGTTTATTACAGGCAGGGATCTGACCACAATAATATTCCAACACACCCCTTCCAACCTGTCACTTCCCTGCTTAAAATTTTCAGTGTCCCCAGAGCCTCAAGGTGAAGTTCAAACCATTTCTTCTGGCATTCAAGGCTCCCATCTCCCTTTCCAATCTTATCTCAGTATCCCCTTCGGCCACTGCACTAAACTGCGTGTTCCACTTGCACTCGGCGTTTCTCTCCTCCACTTGGTCATCCTTTCACACAGATGGCCCTGCTCTGAACTCACCGGGCTCCTGTGTGCCCCACGTTGGCTCTCAGCACTCACTGCCCAAGAATTGTTTCATTCATGCTAGCTCAGTTGCTGCCACTGGACTATTATCTTCGGGAAAGCAAAAAAAGTGCTATCTTTCTCTAGTCCCATTGTCTGGAACCCAAGTATTTACCCACGGCAAGTTCGCGTTTTTGTGAGCATTCTCACATGGCCTACACCTGACACTAGGTGGCACCAAGGAGGCTACCCTATTTGGACCAGCCGTCCCGGCCTGACAGTCTCCTGAGCCACAGAAAGCCTTGATCTTTCTTTTTTTTTTTTTTTTTTGGTGAGGAAGATTGTCCCTGAGCTAACATTTGTGCCAATCTTCCTCTATTTTGTATATGGGACACCACCACAGCATGGCCTGATGAGCATTGTGTAGGTTGGCGCCCCTGGGCACCCGAAGCAGAGCATGCAAGCCTAACCACTATGCCACGGGGCCGGCCCCAGCCTTCATCTTTTCTATGAAAACAAAGGCAGCCATCCAGGCAAAAGGTGAAATGATCATATCAAGGTGTAAATTATATCAGGTGCCTGAAGAAGCAACACAAATAGTTTCCGCCAAGATGCCTTCCAAAGAGAGCCAGAGAGCACAAAGCACCCACCAAAGCCCGGCTTTGATCTTTCCTATGAAAATAAAGCCGAGGCTGCGGCCTGTCCCTCAGGCTGATCCAGCTGGGGGGCGGGGTGGGTCTGGAGCACCCAGCAGTACCCATGTGCCTTTCTGAAATGTTCTCTAGGATTAGGACTGGGCTGGTGGGTGAATCAGGCAGAACTCTGGCAGGGAACCACTGCTGTCCGCCTCACTCAGACATCTCCCAGGGCAGGCGCGCCCAGCACTGGCTGAGCATTGAGGTTTTTTTCAAATCCGCCACCAGTGAAGCCAGCACAGACCAGCCCTGGCTAGGAGGCCAGGCTCTTGGGGGGTGGTGATCTTGGTGGGGGCTCTGCTGGGTTGTCCCTCCCAGGCAAGGCTAACCTGCAGCTCTGTCCAAGGTTATTTCTGGTGAGTACTCTAGAGGCTGCCCCTCCTGCCCACCCAGCTCCTCTGGGCAAGTCAGCAGGGCTGGCAGCACCCACACCAGGGAGAGCGAGGGGCACAGAGCGCCAGCCCGCGGGTGCTGGCAGAGCCTGAGACTGTCACGGAGATGGGCCTGGGCACAATGGGTCTGGGGCCTGCCTCCTGTTTCTCTGCTGCCCGTCCTCCAGGCCCCAGTACCCCCGAGTACCAGGGGTCGTCCCAGTGGAACAGGCGTCTTTACAAAAGGATCCAGGAAGAGCACTACCCTGACTAAAGAAGCAAGCCTCCAGCAGGGGGGCGTCATGTGACGAAGCACCACATGGGGCGGGGCTTTGAGGGGAGACTGAGAGTGAAAAAATTCTCTCCACCACCCCCAGGGGCCAGGGCAGGAAAGGAGAGGAAAGAGGGGCGTCTACTTATTTTGTCCATGTACAGATATTTATATGTCGAAAACTTTACACAGTGAACACCGTTAGCCTCTGGCCCACCCCTCCCCTTCTAGATGCTTATCTCCATGTCCCACCTTGCTCAACCCTGCTGGGCAAAGATGTCCGGTGTAGCGCCCACCTCACGCTTGGGTGCACGGCCTGTCCTGGAGGGGCAAGCAAGTGTACCTAGCAGAGGCCTGGGAACGGGGACTGCCCTCACCCACAGTCCAAGACAGGTCCCAGCCTCTGGCCTCACCCAGCAAGGAGGAAGGGGACCCCACCACCCACCATCACCCTCCCATGCCAACTTGTTATTGGAGTGGCCCTGGCTTGGAGGTACCCACAGAATTGAGGGCACTCAAGCCTGGGAGTTGAGGGTGGGGGGTGCGGAGTAGCGCTGGCGGGCGTGCTTCTCGCAGTACAGCTCGTCCCCCACCCAAAAGTGCCCGCGCATCTTCAGGTTCAGCCCGCAGTCTGCGCAGGTGTAGCAGCCCGAGTGGCGGTACCGTCCCTCCTGGATGCGTACAACCTGGTTCCTGTGAGGACAGAGAGGGGAGAGCCATTAGTCTGTGGGGCGGGGGGGAACAGGAGCACCAGGCATGAGGCCACCATTCCCATTCCCATTCCCAGGGAGCCTAGTTCCCAGGCCAGAGTCAGGACCTGGGAAGATTCCAAACTCTTCTCAGACACTTGACTTCCCAAGCCCGCCCTCAGGAATCTCGCTTCAACAACCCTCCCAACCCCCACCCCCTGGACCCCCAATCAAAAAAAAGGCATTCCTCCCACACATAAAAGTAGATAAACTCCATCCTGAATCTTCTGGATTGTTAGGTGGAGCAGTGGTTCTCAAAGCGTGGTCCCAGGTGCCAGGACCAGCAGCATCGCATCACCTGGGGACAAGCTAGAAATGCAAATTCTGGGGCGAGAGACCTCTTGGAGAGGAAGCTATGGGCTGCAGGCCAGCAATGCCTCCAACAAGCCCCTGGGGGCTCTTTGAGAACCACCATACAGGACAACTTCCTTGTGTCTGCTCAGCAGGGGGGATAGTATTCCACTCTGCAGATAAAACCCCGAGGCCCACAGAGGCAGAGGGATTTGCCTAAAGTGATTCATCTGACCCTCAACTCTGAGCACGTAAGAAATTTATGGGGCTGGGGGGGGAGCTTTCAGCAATCTTCCAGAGAATGTGGCTGCATTATAATGCCACCCACTGAGAAAAATGAACCTACCTCCGGAAAATTCCTTCTGTTCCAAAGGGGGTGAGGGAGGGGGTAAGAGCAAGATTTTCCAGGAGGCACCTTATCTAGAGGCAGATCTCCGGAGGCTTCCAGGTTATGGGAGAGACATCAAAAGCAGGAGCATCTCTCACTCCCGGGCGCAGGGGGACTGGGGAGGAGGAGAGGCAGCAGGAGGAAGCCAGCGCAGGCATCATGAGAAGCCTGAAATAGCCCACTAACCATCACAAATCCACTGTGGCAATGCGACCCTCAGGGTCCCTGACTGGTGGTTCTATGCAGGATGCCCCTCCTGAGAGCATCCTGCCCCCCGCCTGCCAGCGTGTGCCCTGCCTCCCCGGTCCCCACACTCACGCAATGCTGGTGCCACACTTCTCACATGTGTGGAGCTTGGGCGGGGTGGCCAGGGCCCTGGAGGTGGGCAGGGAGGACTGGGGGCTCAGCGAGCTGGGCAGGAAGGCAGGTGGGCCACCTGGGAGGGGTGGGGGTGACAGATACGTGAGCACTCATCCCCCTGCAGCAGAATCCAGGCTGCATTGACTTATGTACTCCACCTCCTCAACACGGTTCCCAAGAGACTTGTGAAAGGCGCATGTACAAGCGGACCTCTAAAGTAACACTGGGTGTGAGAACGGGTAGCGGAGGAAGGACGTGAGTGTGCCAGACCCTTGGCCGAGGCTGGTTGAGTGCAGGGAGCACGCTGGAGGCTGAGGCACCCTGAGGAGTGTCTGTGCTCAGTGTCTGACACGTCAGGCCAAGCAGGCATGACCTCTCTTGTGACCCAGTCATGATGACATTAATAGATGGTAATAACAGATAATAACAGCCCCACAAGCCTTTGTGCAGGTTTCAAAGGGCTTTATGTGCATGGTTGCGTCTGAACTTTGCAACAACGCTAAGATGAAGCACAGGTGTTATTGGGCAGGTATGGTCCCTGTTGCAGCCGAGGATGCGAGACTCCAGTGGTGAAGTCACCATCTGTCTGTGCTCCCCTCACCCCACCGCCTCTCCCTGGGCCCTTTCCCAGGGCCTGCCAAGGCCTCAGGGTCATGATAGACAAGATTTGCTCCGAACCTTCTCACACTGTCCCCCTTACCTCCAAACACTCCCAAGAGCTAACCATCAGAGCTGGAACCAGCACAGGTACTGGTGATTCTGCAGATCAAATCCTTCTCCTGACTGCCCCATCCTCCCCCTGCTGAGGCCACTGCCCAGGCCAGGCCTCCTCATCTCTCCCTGGACTAGGGCAGTACCCTGCACACGCATGCACACACACACACACACACTCCTGTGGCACTGTCCACTTCCTTGGGAACTGGGCAGGCCCATCTGCCCCAATAAACAGAGTTCCTCAAAGGCAGAGGTGGGTCCTGATCGCCTTCGATCTCCACACTTTGCACACGTCTGCCTGTCGGATGGACACAGTAAATGTCTGTCGAATGAACAACCGAATGGCTGGCGAGAGCCCATATCTCTGATTGCTCTCTGAGACATCTCCGGGTGGCCTGGCATCATTTAACAGGCCCTCCTGGGTTAGGGCGCTCCTCAGCCTGGCATGCGAAGCCTCACAGCCAAGACTTAACCTCCACGGCCACCCTCCATGCTGCCAGGCCCTGCTGTTCTCTTGCTCCCACCCCAGAAGGCCTCCGGCTGCCAGCCTCCACATTCCACAGTGTTCCCTGCCACCATCTTAAGGCTGTTTGCTAAAGTCTTGATCTTTTCTCAAGGGCCAAGTCAAATCCCTCTTCCTCCATGAAGCCCTCCCTGGAGACCCAGCCCCCCTGGATCCCCCGCCCGCCTTTCTGGCTCCCTGCCACTTTCCTGATCCCACGCCTGGGAGCCCCTACCAGAGTGCATGCTCCTATCATGCAGGGACCGGGGCTTCTGCGAGTCCTCCCCGGTGCCTACTCCCAGGATGAGCACTTAAGAAATACTAGTTCAATAACGTGTCCAGGCAGGGTCCCAGGGTGTCCTGGGGAACCTCCTTCCCCTACTCAAGCCCCCTGGGGTCCTCACCTCTCTCCTCGGCCTCCAGGGCTTCCTGCAAGAGCCGAAAGGAGCTGGACTGCCGGGGGGCCACCCGCCCCTCGCGATTTTCCTGCAGCATCTTGAAGACTTCTGAGTCCTCTCTCGGGAGGTGGCTTCCCCCTTCTGAGTCCACACTGCTGGGATGGGAGGCAGCCAGGACTGAGCGTCTCGTTCCTGGGTGTTAGGAGGGCCCCGTTCCCAAGCATGGGGCAGAGAAAGAGTGTCCCGGGGCAAAGGATTCTGGGGGCCCGAGGAAAGCTGACTGGGCTTAGGCGGGGACGCCCCCCATCCCTCTCTGGGAAGCCCGTCCGTCTCATGCCCCTCCCAGGACCTCCAAGATCCCACCCCACCCTCCAGGGCCCACTGTACCTGAGCCTGGGGCTGGAGGAACGGGGTCCCAGGGAAGGCGGCAGCACTAGCACAGCCGAGTCGCCAGCGCGGCCGAGGCTGGCCTGTGGGAAGGAGAGGCACCAGGGGAGGAGCCAGCAGCGGGAGCCTTGGGCCAGCACACCCGTCTGGCTGCCAAGCCCGGCTGTTCCCCAGGCCCAACACCAGAGGGCTTCTGGCCCTTGCTGACCAGCAGGCCCCCTGCGAGGGGCCATCACCCTGCCCCTGCCCTCAGAGCCAGGGCACCAGGGTCTGCTCCTGCTCTGTCCCAGAAGGGGAGGGAGGCCAGCACCCAGCTATGGAGGTGTGAGGGCTCCGCAAGAGGACTGGGCAAAAGGCAGAATAAAGACCAGCAGGTGACAGCTGAGCACGGACACCAGGCACATTCCTTTGTTATCTCATGCTGTGTGTTTGCAAAGATGGTGCACGTTGGGGCCTAGCTCTGACCCCACAGAACAAGCCGAGAGGGAAGTAAGCTGACCCTTTGCAGTGGGGAAAGGAAACTCCCAAAGAAAAGAGAGCCTCAGGGACCACCAGGCAGGCCAGTGCACCCAGCTGAGGGCACAGTCTCCTAAAAAGCTAAAATCCCTCCATTTTACAATTCTAAGCCAGGGACGAACTATGAAGTCAAATGAAAAAACTGCATGAATTCCTCGTCCAAAAGTGGAAACTTCAGAGTCTTGAGAAGACAGCCCCAGACCCTCACCCCACCGGTCTGCATTCCTCTGCTCTTGGGCTTCTTTGGGAAAATGTTCTACAGGTAGGAAGACTGAGGGTCAGAAGGGCAAAGTGCCTGGTCCAAGCCACAGGGGAGACAGAGGCAGGGCTGGGAGTCCACGCCCAGGTCCTGGGTGCCATGCGGTCAACTCATGGATGGTGAGCGAGTTTCCTCAGGAATGAGGGCCACACCAGTTACTCAAGAACAATGTCCCATCTCACTGTCCTAGACAGGCTAGCATGTGCCCTGCACAGGGGTACTGGCCAGCGGGGAGGGAGGGCTGAAATCCGGCCCAGGCTTCCTTTGTGAGCCAAGTCCTCAAGCCAGCCAGAGGGAGAGGTACTGTTTTTACTTCTCACCTGCTCACCAAGGCAGGTGCCGACCCAGCAGGGGCAGCTTCAGGTTTCCAGAAGGGCGCCATACGGGCTGGTGGTATCCTGCGCCTTGGGCTCAGTGAAGCTTCAGGCAGCTCAGGAGCCAGCAGCAAGGCCATGGCACAGCAGACAGGGGCAGGGGCACCTTGTCTACAGTCACCTCTGCGCCCTTCCTCCTGCCAGACCACCTCGCCCTGGTGGAGAGGAGCCCAGCTCCCTCTCCAGGAGCGGCTCTGCCTTTCTCCTCACTACCCCCCGGTCAGCGAGGACACCTGCCTTCACACAGGGACCTTTCATCTCCAAGTCTAGAAAGGCTGCTCGCCTGCCCATCAAGAGCTCGTCTGTGGCAAGACCTCTCAAGATGTTCAGGGGAACACAGGGATGTCAGTAAGTGAGAGGCAGAGGAAGGGGGCTGCCAGGAGAAATTCTGCAGTTAAACAAGTTTAAGAAATTAATAAAATTAAATATATTTCTTTCTCACGGGACTTCTTAGAGCCTTTAAGGTGCTAAAGTACACAGCGACTCCCAAGAGGGAGCTGCGGCCCTGTGACTCCCACCCCGTCTGACCACAGCCTCGTTGGTAGACCAGAATGCAAGCTTTGCTGGGTTAGGAATTTCTCTGTTTCTCCACCAACACATCCCAAGAGCCTAGCAGGGTCCTGACACAAAGCAGCTGCTCCATAAATATCTGTTGAAGGAATGAGCAGGGGCCTCGGGGTCAGAGAAGGGAACTCAGTGCATCAAGTCTGACTCTGAGGCCCAGAGAGAGGTTGGGGGCTTGTCCAAGGTAACACAGTAGAGGTGGGACCAACCCAGGTCTCCTCACCACCAGCCCAGGGCTTCTCTTTACACTGCATGGGTGGTCCTCAAATCTTTGTGTGCATCATATCCCTGAGGACTCCTTAAACACAGGTTGGTGCCCCCATCCCACCCCTCCACCCTGGTGTCTGATTCAGTAGGTCTAGGCTGGGGCCTGAGAATTTGCATTTCTAACAAGTTCCAAGGTGCTGCTGCTGTTTTGAGAGCCACTCCCTGTACCACCCGCATCTCCCTTTTGCCCGGGTTGGGGACACCACGAGGAAGGAGGCCAGGATGGACGGGCCCTCTCCGGCCATGCCCTAGGCCAAGCTCATTCCTGGCTGGTCTCAGCTGAAAGTCTCCCCAAGAAGGGCCCCCAGTCCCAAACATGCCAGGTCTTGCCTGTACCACTGTTTTCCCATCTCATTATTCTCTAACCTAAACCTACCCGTTCCCACCTCCGACATCCAGCAAAATTCCTGACACAGCCTTCTCGGGCCACCCCAACCCACTCATCTCTCCCCTCCCAGGAAGCCTCTTGCCTTTATAATTAAGACCACACTGTTTAGGGCTTAATTGTTCCAAAATTGTTTTGCATGTTTGTCTTATCTTCACAACTACATTCTAAATTCTTTAAAGACAAGGATCTCATCGAATACATCTCTAGGCCCACATTGCCTGGTGGGCCACTGGGTGGGCCCAGAGAGGTCACTAGGGAGCCCCTACTGTGAAGCCCCCAAAGGACCCCACTCTTTCCTTCTCCAGAGTCCCCAGTTTCTAGGACCCTCCCCCAGCCGTCTCTAAAGGCTCTGCTTTCTGGAATGCAGACTCAACCAGAGGTAGGATTCCAGCAGCTGGGCCTCATCCCCTTCACCCCAAAGGCAGGACATGCCTTCCCAACTCTGCCCCCAGCAGCTGTGGCCCACGACTGTTGGCCACCTCACTCCCTCACCTCCCCACCTCTGCTCTTAGAGAGGAGAAATGCCACCAAGGGGGGCTGGGCTGGCACTAGTGGACAGTGGGCCTGGGGGGGTCCAGGGGAGAAGGGCAGGGAGCAGAGGCAGACAGAGAGCAAGCCAAGTACAACTTGAGGCAGAACCACAGTCCTGCTGGTGGTTTTCTGCACTGAGTCAGAGGAGGAAGAAGGGGGATGGGGTGGTGGGAGTTGGGGGCGGGCATGGGGCTTGGAATGGGGAGGAATGTGTTCAAGAGATGCAGCCAAAGCCAAAAGGAATCATCCCAACAACAGCAGCAAAACTATTTCAGCCCTGGCCCAAGAGAAACACTCAAGAAGGGAGGAGGCCAGCAGGAAGGGGGCGGCAGCGGTGAGCAGGAGTGCAAGAGGTGGAAGGCCACCTGGTACTGGCCAGGCAGGGCCGGGCACAGCAAGTGTGACTGACCACCAGAAGCGATGGTCTCCCAGCTCAGGAGAGGAGTATGCCTGTTGCTAGGAGATGGAGACGCTGGCTGCCTAGGTAGGACCAGCCACCTGCAGCCCCATGGGCAGCACTGGCAACCAGCAGGGATGGGAGGCTCTCTCCTTCCCCTGGGTATCCTAACCTGTCGGCTTCCAGGGCGGCCCCCGTAGGACAAGCGGTCAGCAGCAGCGAGTCCTGGAGAATGTGCCAGGCTCTGGAAACTGACATGGGGGAAATGGACAGTGTGAGTGCCAGGGGCCCCATCCAGGCTGCCCCAGGGAAACAGGATGCCCTCAGGATCTCCTAAACCCAGTTACTGAGACTTGGAGAGGCCCGGCATGGACCAGGTGGCCAGGTTGCCCACCCTTTGGGCTCACTTGCGGTTGATCACTGCCTCTCCAGAGAGGCCGTGAGGGCTGGGGGGTGGTGGCGTGGAGAAGGGGCTGTCTGGCCGGGGGCTGAGGGAGGTGGGGCTGGAGCAGGAAGACCTCAGGGAGGACTGGCTGTCAATGTGCGTCCTCACGGAGCCCTGTGGAGAGAGCAGCCCTGTGGAGAGAGGGGCCGGAGAAGCAGGGAGGGGGTACCCTCCCCCACCAGCCCTGCCCCTCAGGCCCCCCTCACTGCAGGGTGCTGGGGCTTCCAGCGGAAGGCACCATCCTACCTGGAAGTGAGTCGCCAGCGCTTCCACGGAGCTGTCCCCATTGGTCTGCCCGGGAGAGGCAGCCCAAGACCTGAGGAGAGGACAGAGGGAGGCGAGTGTCACAGGGGTCCTGGACCCCCCGCGGAGCTGGAAGGGCCCAGATTTCAGCTGTTCCAACAGCGGATTCTCAAGACTAGTAAACTGTCCAGAACACCCAGACATCGAGTTGTCAACTTTTAACTTTGCCAAATTCAAAACAGACAACTACTATCAACAACCACCGTCATTTCTTAAAAGAAAAGAAAGTTCAGCACCAAAGAGTAGAAAGGACATAATTTCAGCAAAAAGATTAATAAATTCAATTTTATTGAAAACGCCTCACATTATCCCCCCACCTTCTCATTTTCTTTTCTTTTCTTTTTTTTTTTTGGCATTTCATCCAAACTTTGTCACTGGTCAGCATCAGTCTGTAGATCAACTTTGGGAGAGACTGCTGCCTTCATAGAAAGAATCCTTTATCCTTCACCCACGGAGAAACTGAAGCCCAGAGAGGGAAAGCGAGTTGCCCAAAGTCCTCAAGCCCAACAACGGCTGGGCCAGCTGCCCAGGCTGCAGCCACTGATGGCTGGAACATCTCTGAGAGGGTCACTCCCGGTCCCTTCTGCAGGGGAGGCAGGCTTCTCCCCAGTAAAACAAAGTGTGGGGCTGGACCCCCTTCCTGCCAGGCAGGTAGAGGCGGGGCCCAGAGAACCAGAGCAACACGCAGGCCCAGCTCCCCCACCAGTCACCAAGGCAGCCAGCAAGAGGGGCTCCCCTACCCCTGCTCCCCAGGAACCCCGTCCAAAGCCCTTCCCAGTGGAGCCTGCTGGAGCCTTGAACAGGAAGTCACTGGAGGGCTGGGAGCTGGCTGAGGCTGAGGAAAGAGGCTGCCATGTCGCATCCCCACCACGCCATTCTTGGGTGTCCGGCACTTCTAGAGAGGTCAGCGAGAACCTCATCACCACCCACCATGCCGGCCTCAGCCTCCTGGGTCAGAGGGAAGGGAGCTTGGGCTTTGGCTCCAGCCAGAGCACTGCTTCCTGCCACAGGGCTTTTGAGTGCCTGAGAGGCCCAGGGGTGGTGGTGGCGGTGGGGGTGGGGATGGGGCTGCAGTGGGAGGTGTGGCTAGGAAGGGTTAAGAGGGGGCTGGGCAAAAGAAAGAAGAGACAGAGAGCCTTGACTTGCCTGAGGTGAAGCTGGAGGCCTGGGGGTGCTCAACCAGGCCCACCTCCCTGATGGGGCTGGGTCCCCCCAAAAGGGACCTGAGAGGAAGTGGTGGTCCTTGCCCCTCCCCCGCCCCACTCTGCAGCCTCTTATAGATCTTGGTCCCCTTCCTAGATGCCATGAAGTACTCTCCACCCTCCTCCTCTGGGCCCCATTCCTGCAAACACTCCTGAGCTACAGTGGCACAAAGGAGTCACCAAAGAGGTGGGGTCGCGAGCACATCCCCGGAGCCAGCTTTTCTGCAGCACTGTGAGGCAGCAGGGGTGAGGTGAGGGCATGGAGCCAAGGGCCCAGAGAGAGCCTAGAGGTGGGGGCAGTAGTGGAGAGGCAGGAGGTACCTGATTCAGGTTCAAGGCCCGCCCAGAGGGCTCTCCTGGCGGGGGATCTCCCAGCATTCCTGCCCTGTGACTCATGCAATGCCCCACCCCAGGGAGCCACCTGTTCCCCCCCCAACCCAGGCCTCCAGGCTGAAAACCCTACAAGCCTGGGAATCCACCTTCACCAGCAGGTCCCAGAGAGGCAATGGGGAGGGACAGAGGGCTCTGTGGGGAGTGAGCCCCCAAACTCCTCACCCCACCCCTGGGATCTGAGCAAAAGCCGACCCCTCTTGGAGGCAGAGGCCCTGAAGACCCAGCCTAAGGCACACCTTTCTCCTCCTCAACCCACTTCATGCCCCCGCCTCATACCCCGCACACTTGGGAACCAGTCAAACCCAGGCATCCAGGTAGCTGATGCCAGCCTGCCCTGCCTGTGGCTGCATGCCCAGCTGGGCACAGAGATACCCCTCAGCCCACCCTGCTACAGGCCCAGAGCCTGAAACCTTCTCGCAGTTGAGCCGACATGGCCCGGGAAGGCCAGGTTAAGGCTGAGGGCAGGGGGTGAGGGAGGCACTGTGTGATGGGCGGGCAGAGGAGAGAAGAATGCTGGCAGGCACTGCAGAGGTGGAGGGCCTACCGGTCCAACTGCAGCCGCAGGGGCGAGGGGCTCTGGCGGATCTTGCTCTGGGCCTCGGCGTGAAGCATGCCCTCTGCACTCTCCCCGTTGATGGCCACGATGATGTCGCCAGGACGGAGGTCAGCAGCCTCGGCCTTGCCCCGTTCGGTTACCTGCAGGGGATGAGGAGAAGGTGGTCTGAGGTACCCCCACTCACACAGTGGTGACACTCAGGTAGGGATGGAGGACATGGGACTTCCCTCTGTCCTGCCCAAGAAACACAGAAGCTGGTTTGAACCAGGCTGGCCTGCATCCCCTTGAACATCTCTCTCCCTGCCCATCCGGGTCTGCCCAGCTAATCAGCTAATCTCCTCCCCAGCTGGAGTGGCAACCCCCCGCTGCCCCCCCACTACCACCCAGCAGTGGCATTCTAACAGGGGCCACCCAAAGAACGTGTAGTGGCAGAATTTCAGGAACTGTGCTTAGAAATACTTTTGGATAGAGAGCCCTGCCCGTGCAAATCGCACTATGCAGGTGGCTGCCCGCACACAGGCCCTCTGTGTGAATGCTCCCCGGCCTGGGCCTGGGTCAAGGGAAAACTGCCAAGAACTCGGGGGCTCCTGTTCTAGTAACTACCCAAAATGGCTGCCAGCAGACATGCGGTTGGTGACCTCGGAGAAAAGAGCAGGCCTTGTCCTTGGCCCAGCTCCCTTTCACTCCCTAGGAGCCCGTTCCCGCAGCAGTCCCAGCCCTCCCTGGCCAACACACCAGAAGCAAGACTGGCTCTAGAACAAAAAATGAAAGGTGTCTGTGGGGACCGGATAGACAGGGCAGACTCTTTGGAGGCACCTCCTTATCTCCTGGAACTAGCCCTTACCTTGGTCACCACGATGCGTGTGTGGAAATCCCTGCCCCCAGAGATGCGGAAGCCCCAGGGCCCCGGCCCCACCACATCGACTGTCAGCGCCATACCTGAGGAAGAAAGGATGGAGGGGTGGAGCCTGCCTCCAGCCCCCAAGGGACGCTGCAAGGTGGCAGGAGAGAGGCAAAAGGGAGGAGAGGGGATGACAGGTCCACAGAGCTGCCAGTCAGGAGCTGGGGTGGGTGGGGAGGGTAGAGGAAGTGACTGACTACCACCCTCAACCCCAGTTTCACTTCCCCCTACCCTGGGAAGCCACCACTCTGAGTTCCCCCTTCTCATCTTTAGCAGATGGCTCCCTGGAGGCAGACTGTCAGGGAGCCAGGCAGGGGCTTGCTGGAGAACGGGCACAGGGCTGGCAGGTGGTAATGTCAGCATTTCCTCCCTCTCCCCCTCCTCCACCATCAGGGCTAAGTCCCGCTAGTGCTTGCTTCCTGTCCCCAAAACCAACAGCACAAGGTACTTCCTCCCTGCTCTGGGGGAGGGCAGTGCTCTGGGAACAGAAGTGACAGCAAGGAAGGGGGTGGCACCACCACAGACTGTTCAAGTAGTTGGCAGGGTGGGAGCTGACAAAATATGGTGAGGGTCTTCAGAGGGGCCTCCTGGCTGCCTGCCCGGCCCCTGGCAATGCGCTCCAGATAGCCAAGCCTGGGCTTCCTACCTCCCCCAGGGGTCTGCTGTCCTCCGACCAGCTGGGCAAGAAGGACGGGCTCATTTGCCAAACTGGGCACACCCACCCCCTGGTGCTGGCCAGCAGGGGAGCTGACTGATGCTAGCTGGGGCCACAGGCCTCCCATCCACTGCCCCCTCCGCTGGGCAAGGGAGTGTCCTTGCAGACCCAGCCCTTGTAGGATTTCCTGAGCCTCTCGTTCTGGAGTCAGGAGACAACCTAGCCAGGAAGCTACAGTGCCAGGCTGGGCCAGCACCCTGCCCAGCACCCCCTTCCACTCCCAGGGGAGGCCCAGAGACTGCAGTGCTGCCCAAAGCTACCGGGGACACTGGGGCCCCTTTGGAGTCTAGGAGCCTGAGGAGGGGGCACCCAGGCAACAGGGGCTGTCTGCCCTCCTCCAGGCCCTTTGGCTTCTCCTTTCGCCCAGGCCCAGCCTCTGTGCCTCCCCAGACCCCCAGGTGGGCGCTGGCGGCTCTCCGACGCCTTGGATTCTCAGACCTTTGAGCTAGCCAGTGGACTCCGCGCCGGGGGCCGCCGGGAGGTGCCCAGCGCGTGGGCCCGGCTCTCCCAGTTCTGGCGCCTTCTACGTTCCGAGGCCAAAGTACCCGCGGGCCAGGGGCTGGAGGAGGAGCGCCCGGGACGAGGAAAGCCCAGCCCGCGGGGGGCGCCAACCGCGAGGGAGGCAGCAGGGAGAGGAGCTGCGGGCGCAGGCCCGGAGGAGTCCGGGCACCGAGGGGCGCCGAGGGGGCGGCGGGCGCGCAGGGGGCGAAGGAGCCCGGGCCGGCCAGGGCAGGGCGCCGCTGTGCGGACGGCGCGCAGGTGGGCGCGCTCATCTGGCTCTGGCTCACCTGTCGGGCTGAGCGGCCAGGCCCAGGAGGGAAGGGAAGGGAAGGAGGGAGGGCGAGGAGACGCCGCCGCTCCCGCCGCCGCCTGCTCGACTCTGGGGAGAGCCCGCCCGGGGCTCCGGGACCTGCCTCCGCCCATGTGATCCCAGGGCCGCCCCTGCCACCGCCCCTGGTCGGGGAAGCCGCCTCCTCCGCGCAGCCCAGCCCCGGCGCTGCCACCTGCCCGGTGCCCGCTGGGGTGTGGGGGTCACGCTCCGTAGAGCCCCTGAGAGTCTGCGGCCGTCCTCCCCGAGGTGCCCTGTCCTCCCGACTGCCCCCTGAGCGCAGGGGAAGCCTTCTGGTGACGGTCCCGTGCCCCACTTAGCAGACAGCTGCGGCTGCCATCCCCTAAAGCTCTCCCGGGCCGGCCGCGCCCACCCCGCTTCAAAGGGGCCCTCGAGCACCCCACCCCTAGGGCCGGGGCGGGGAGAGCCGGCTTGGGCTGTCTGCATCCTGCCTGGCTCCTCCGCCCACTCCGGGCTCCGACGCTGGCGCAGATGCCGCCCCGACACCCACAGATCCCAACCCGGGGGCAGCCCCTCGCCTCCCCCAAGGGCCGGCGCGCTCCCTGGGCGGCGGCCGTGCAGAGCTGCCCTGCTTGAGATGCCCCGCGAGCCCACGCCACTCAGAGCGACCTGCCAGGCCCAGGAGGAGACGAAGAGAGACTCGCGCCTGGAGGTCATGGGCGCCCTCCTGGGCCACACGCGTCCCTTATTCTTATAGGCTGATGCCTTTTCCATTCCTGCCCTTCCCCTCCCCTTCTCTGCTGCCCTGCCTGGGGCCAGCCAGCGGACCACCACCGCTGGTCCTCGCCCCCCATACCCCCAGCCCTCTGCCAACCACCTGGAACCCAGGCTCCAGGAATCAGGAGAGGACAGCCAAGGAGAGGCCCCAGCTCAGAACCATCTGGCAAATGTTTCCCCCGGAGCCATACCTGGGAACCGTCACCCTGGGGACCACCCACTGGAGCCGGTTTTTGCGTCTCCCGTTGGTCTCCACTTTGCACTCTCTCTGTCAGACTGGTCTGTTTCCTGGTGGGGGGGGCACACCTGTAACTTGCCTGCCTCAGGTGTGAGTCATCCACTCCAATTCCCTCTGCAAGGAGTGCCCTCACCACCCCTCTCATCCACCTGTGCCCCATATCATCCTCCCTGCACTCACAGACCAGCCTCCACAGCCTCTGTGCTCAGGGTGTGTAAGCCACTCTCTCCCTAACTAGTCCTGTGCCTCCTGGTACGGCCGCTCTGCCTAATGCACCTGTTCTGTCTCCGCAACGAGACTGGAAGCCCCTGAGGGGGCAGGAAACTACAGGTAGGGCAAGCACAGCTTTGAGGTCACACAGACCTAGGCCCAAATGCCAGATCTGCCTCTCACTAGCTGTGTGACCTTGGGCAATTTGCTCAGCTACTCTGGGCCTCAGTTTCCCCATGTGTGAAATGGGGATAGTGCACAGCTTCTCCTCCTTTTGCGCAGATTGCCCTCCCATATAAAGCTGCCTGCGCACAGGTTCCTCTGCGGGCAGGGTGGGCTTTGTTTGGTTCACTGCCCCATTCCCAGCACCTAGCACTGTGCCTGGCCCATGGTGGGCATTCAGGAAGCACTTGTTGAATGAATACTGTGTGAATGATTGAGTGGATTTGTTTCCCTTCCTTCGCCCCCCCCCCCCATTTGTGGCAGAGACTCTGTTTTACACCTCTTTGAGCTCCTGACTTTGCCTTGGACAGTCTTTAGAAACGTCCACAGGTGAATCTGCAAGATTTCTGCTCTGTGGGTTGTGCATTCACGAAACTCATGACCAAGACAAAGTAGGCCAACCCCAGGGCATGACCCCATGGAACAGAAGGAAGTGCTGTCCCACTCTCAGCAACTCTGTGGCCCCGGGCACTCACTCACCTGACCTCTATAATGGGACAAGCAGCCCCAGTGGCATAAGGTCCTTTCAGGCGCTGACCCCTCAGGTCTCCCTCACCCCTCAGGTTTCCGATTCTCCCTTCCTCTCCCCTCTCGTGCCAGGTCGAGGCACAGAAGTGGTCATCGTCCAGGCAGGGCTGTCATGGTGGATAGCCCAAGGGCGTAGGGTTGGTTTGCTGCAGAGGTTTCAGGGCGTCAGAGAGGGTCTGGATTTGGTTTCTGCCCCGGGGAAGGGAAATCTCAGGCCTGATGCCTTTTACAAGGGCATCAGGGAATGTGAAGGAGCTGGGATAGGGGATCAGGAATGGTATTCCATAGGATGGGCTGCACCTGCCAACTTAGAAGCAGACCCTGGTGACAACTGGGGTGGATGGAACGGATGAAGGAACACACGTAGGTCTTGTTCTCCCAGCTGCTGTGTAACCGCGGCTGGAGACTAGGCCGCACCCAGGCTCAAGGAACCTGCCATGGCCAGGCCACGGCCCTGTCACTCACAGGCCCTCCCACCTCTGTCCTGACAGAACGAGGCACCACACCTCTTCCCACCCACCTGGGGTGGGGGAGCCTTAAGCGACAGGCCTAGAAAACAGGATTGCCAGGAAGAATGTAAAACAGGCCCAGCCCAGGCTGCCCCAGGGAAGTCCTTGACCTCATGTGTGACCTTCCTTCCCCAGGGGCCTCTGCACAAGGAATGCTGGGCATTTGGTAGACTTTGTAGAGAGGCGGCAAGGATCATGGGGCCTGACTTTAGCATTTTATAATGACGTGACCCAGACAACTTAATTTCTCAGCCTCAGTCTCCTCCTGTAAAATGGAATCATAACCTGCCATTGGAGTGCTTCCATCAGATAACGCCTTATGCTCTGCTCAACTGCCAGCGGCTGCCGAGGAACGGAGCTTTCCTTCCTCGGCAGAGCAACCAGGCCCAGACTGTGCCACCACTGTCACCCCACAGGAACCACCAAGCCCCAGGACTCTGAAACCTTGGGTGAGAAGAGTCGGCTTGGCACGAGCTGTGCCCCACCACTCCCAGCTTCCCGCAACTGATTGCTCAAAAACCTGAGCGAGAAGAAAGTAAACAAACACCCGGGGGCTTCAGGTGGAAACAGGGCACACAGAAGAACATTAGGACCCAAAGAGCTAGACATGTCATCCATTCCAGCAACCCCACAGCGGCTCCAGATTCAAAACAGCCCGCAAACAAGGTCACGTTCCGCTCCAGCTCTGGTTTCTCCTCCGTCAGGCCTTGCCCTGGTCCCCAGGATGTCACTTCTCTCCACGCTGCTTGTCAGACAGCTGCCCGATCCTGAGGGCTGAGATCTTGAGAATAATGGTGCTTTTCCAGCCTCCCCTCACACACTCACACACATGCACATGCACATCCCACCTGACTCCCAGCACAGCCGACCAGAGAGAATTCCCACACCCCTAAGCAGGAGGAGCCCTCCCCCACCTCAAAGGAAAAGGACTGCAAAGCAAGGTCCAAGCATCCAGATTCATTTTACATTCTCTTCCAGGGGGGACTTGGGGGAGCTGGGGAGGCAGAAGGGCAGCACACATCAGGGTCCCTGGAAAACATCTGGGACGGGCCAGTCCTCTGAGGCCACGGCCTTGCTGGGCACTACAGCAGCAGGACAAGGCACACCCCAGGCCCAGTGCTTGGCAGCCTTTGGGAAGGGGGCCCTTTGGGCAAGACCTCCTGCCAGGCCTTGAATGCTAAGGAGGTGCTGTGTCCACCCTCCACCTTACTCCCAGTCCAGCTGGAATCCGGAAGGCAAAAGAGGCAGCAGGCAGGCTGGAGTGAAAGGAGTGGACTCTCCTCCAGGCAGAGGCGGCCTTTGGTCTCTATGAGGTTAGGAAGCTGGTCCTTGTTAGAGGAACCCCATGGGGGTGAAGCTGGGAGCCGTCCCTATTGGAGGAAATGCCAGAGGAGGGTGGGGGTGGGGGACTCAGGGTTCTGGTCTCAATAAGGCCTGGAAACAGTCTCCACTTCAAAGCAGACCTCTGTATTTGGAGAGTCGGGTAGCGGAGGAAATAAAAGGCTGTTCAAGGAATGCCTGTAAGTTGTGGGTGGGAACCAGTCCAGGAGGCTTCGAGGGGGCTCCAAGGGAAAGGCTGGTGGGGTTGTCTGCAGATGCCAGCAGTTCAGGGCCTGGAGAGGAGCATGTGGGAGAGCGGGTTCTCTCTCCCTCTCGTAAGTGCTACTGCTGAGCTCTGAGTTGTCACGGAGACCATCACACTGGAGCTACATAATTTCCAGGGAAGGTCCCAAATTTCTGGGTCCTCCGGGACACACCTGAAAGAGGAAAGACAGAAAGAGCATTCCTCACACTTTTTAAAATAGAATGTGGGGGTAAGAGCCCTGTCCCCTACTGGCAGTGCCCAGATCTGCAGCCTGAGTCCCTGACAGAGGAAGGCGGGGCAATGGGGGAGACGACACAATTTGCTTTCCTCACTCATGCCCCCTAGTGGCAGAAGCTTAGATGGGCAAAGCTACCCTTCCTAAATTCAATAAGGAGCAAGAACCCCCAGCACTCAACTGTGTGAAAGCGCACACAGCACTGAATAACCCCACCCTTCCTTGGGAGGGCAAGGAAGCAGGAGGATGAATCATAGATCTTAAATCAGGAGAAACCTCACTGGTCTCACCTTCATGGTAGAGATGGGACAGGTAAGGCCTAAGAGAGAGCCGAGTGAATTCCCCAAAGCACTCAGCTCCTTAGGGGGAGAGGGAGGACTAAAATCCAGGCCTCTGGTCTGCTGCAGCCCCAACAAACTGTGTCCTGGGTGGAGGAGGGAGAATGCTAGAAGATATAGCCTTCTCTTCCCCTCCAGCAGGCTGGCATCCCGACTTCCTTATGAGCACCCCACACTCTTCCTGCCCCCAGACCTTGCTGATGTTCCCCCCCGTGCCTATCTTTTTCTCTCTGCCTCCCCAAATCCTTGCCCTGACCCTCAAGGCCCAGCTCCTCCACTTCCTCCAGGACACAGGACCCCTCCCCCAAGGATTGCTCCGGAGACAGGTGTGCGGTGGGAAGAAGCAGGGGCCTGGGGTTCAGGAACCCTGCCGCCCTGAGTCCACATTGACTTCACCAATGACCCTGGGCTGGTCCAGTTTCCTCCCAGGCCTCACCCCTCCTCAGGGCATGAAGTCAGACAACAGAAGTGCTGGCTTGGGGAAGCATCCCATGCCAGGCCTTCCCAGGAGCCAGGCCGGAAGTAGGTGGGGGGTGCTCAGGCCATGAATCTTTGCTGAACCAGCACTGGCAGTAAGCAGCAGCCCACCCAAATCCCCCCAGGAACCCTGAGATACCCCTTCTGGCCTGCCCCCCACCCCAGCTCACATACCCACAAACCAGCCATCGTCACACTGCTGCATGACATCCACCCGATCCCCCTCCCACAGCTCCAGCTCGTCCTCGTTCTGGGGCCTGTACTGGTACATCGCCCGGTACCTGCAGGAGACATCGTCATGGCAACCACCAGAGCCCTTGCCCCTTCCCCAGCCCAGGCCCAGAGAGTCTAAACCCAATGTTGCCACGTCCTCTGAATTTTCTAGGGTGCCTCCATACTTCTGTTAGCCCCTGGCCCTGCTCCAGGAATGGGGACTCTATCAGGCTTCTATGCATTCTTCCCAGGGCCTGCTCCCTGCCCTCCAAGCCCTAACCATCCAAACCTCACCTCCTCTGAGCTCCCCTTGTTTTCAAGTCTGTTCCACCAGTTTCCACACTTCATGCCTACATGCAGCACTGATCTCAGGGCTGGAAACCCAGTGAGGAGACTGAGGCCCAGCGGCCCAGTGTGGGAGGTTTGCTTTAAGGCCACAGGGCTGGCGGGGATGGGTCAGGAACACCACAGATAAGTGCCCCTCCATTACCCATAAGCACTGCAAGGACAAGGGCTACCTAGCAGGAGCTTACTAAATCCATCCCGGAGGGGAAGGGGCCGGCTATGGGGGTCAGTGTGCTCAGCACAGCCTGCTCGGCAGCCCTCCACCCCTAAGCACCCCTAGACGGTACTCACGGGGTCCAGTGTATCTGAGTAGTGTTGGGGGAGGAGGTCCCCAGGTCCAGGGGACGGCTGGAGCCTCCAGGATGGGACAGAGCTGACCCAGGGGTGCTGAGACTCTGGGGATGCACGAGGGGAGAGTGAAATGGGCCTCCCCACTTCCCCTGCAGCAGCACTGCCCACACAGCCTCATCTCATCCGCTCAGTCCCCACCACACAGGCAGATCTGCCCAACTATTTCACGTCACAGGTGCTGGGAAGGTGGGGCCCAGGCGGGGCAGGTGGCTGATTTCTGAATGCCAGCAGGACAAAGCTGAGAACGGAAGTCCCAAAGACTGGCTGCGCCTGCGCATACTGGTTTGCTGGGTGAATGGATGAACACAGGAGTGAGGGCACCTGACTGTGGGCTATGGCAGGACAAAAACGAATGACTACCCTACCCGTCAGCAACTATAAACTTTTAGTTCAAACCCAACTACCCTCTGCAGTGGAAACTACTATCCCCATTCTACAGATGAGGAACATTCCACAGGTGAGAAAACCCAAACCCAGAGACGGTAAGTCATCTGCCCAAGATCACACAGCAGGTGAACGGCAGATCCCCGACTCCTGGCACCACCCTGTTCCAGGGGCTGACACAGGCTGATCACAGGATCAGGAGACCTGGGCTGGCTTTGGGTCCCACCTAGAGCTGGCTGGCTGCCCCATGCCTCCCTGGGCTGCAGCTCAAGGGCCACAACCAACTCGAGGAGTCTGAGGGCCACAAGGCCAGGGTGAAGCTGCAATGCAAGGTCCTGCCCAGTCAGCACACCAGTCTGTCCTGGGGCAGTCTGGGAAGGATTCCGAAATGCGGACCTGGCACAGGAATGGGGGATATGGTGTGGGAGCACGGGTCAGCTCTCCACTTCCAGGCAGGTCACCTTACCTGGGTCTGTGGTCTGGCCTCCTGGGCAGAGAAGGAGAAGCCAGTGCGGCGAGGGGAGGTTCGGCCCCCTGAATCGGTGGGATCAGCTGGGCTGCGCGGTGCTAACGGGGAGCTGGGGTGACGGGCAAGACGGGCGGTGGTCAGGCGGGGAGACGCAGGGAGCTGGGGGCCGTCGTCGCAGACCCGGACCCGGGGCTCGCGGCACACCTGCACGTAGCTGACAGGGAAGATGCCCTGGCGCCCTGTGCCCGAGATGCGCCCTTCGTACCAGTTCTCATTCACCTTGCGGATCAGGCAGATGCGCTCCCCCTGGGGGGAGGAAGGAGTTAGTGTCTGCAGGGCCCTCCTGGGCACCACGCCCCCGAGGGTGCCCCAGAGGCTGTCTCGTTTTAAACCAACGCCTTGCAGAGGGATCAGGCTCAGAGAGGTCAGCAGGTGGTGTGGAGGTCACATAACTAGGAAGTGGTGGAGTCAGGAGCGGACCCATGCTGCCTGAGGGAGCGAGCAGAAGTCTGAGCTCTTCCCACACCGCAGGCACTGAGTGTGGATCAAGTCCTGCTGCTTCAGGAAGCCTACCCACGTACATCCCGCTCCGAGGTCACAGCACTCTCTCTCCCCAGAGTTCCAGACACAGGGGAACCTGGCGCCTAATAACACACAAATGACACAGGTCCAAACCGGGCTCTGCCAATTCCAAGCTGTGTGGCCTTGGGCAACTTACTTTGCCTCTCTGAGCCCTGGTTTCCTCACATGTGAAGTGCGGATAACAACACTGTTGCTGAGAGGAGGAAAGGAGATCAATGGCAGACTGGTAAGAAGCAGCGAACAGGCGTCAGCCACTAGTGCCGTAACCATCCGGCAGGGCCTCTGCCACCACACCGGTGATCTTGTCACCACTGCGTCAGAAAACAGACTCCCCAGGGCAGCGGTGTGTCCTCAGGGCCACGGGCTGACTGACGTTGGGGCGGGGGTGGCCCTGGGGAGAATGGTCTCCCTCTCCTGCCCCCACCTCTCTCCCGGTGCCCAGCTCTTCTAAGGGACATTCACTAGGGGTAATCATGGCCTCAGCCCTGAAAACCAACCAAAGGGAGACCAGTTCCCTGCTTTCTAGGACAATGTTTTTCAAGCTTTCTTGGCACAATCTATAGTAAAAAATATGTTTTAATAACAATCCAGCACACATGCACATGCGTGTACACACACATACATATATACATAACTGCCTAAAAGTTTGATAGAATACCCTTTCTACATTCAAGGCATTTTAATATTTCTATTCTATACTTTTAAAAATGCTGATTGTGATCCTCACAGCCTACCAATCTACAACTTAAAAAAGCACAACTACTCTAGAAGTTTCTAACAACCTTTTTTTTAATTAATTTATTTATTTACTTTTTTGCTGAGGAAGAATGGTCCTGAGCTAACATCCATGCCAATCCTTCTCTACTTTTTGCATATGGGACACCGCCACAGCATGGCTTGATGAGTGGTGCATAGGTCCATGCCTGGGATCCAAACCCACGAACCCTGGGCCGCCGAAGTGGAGTGCATGAACTTAACCGGTAAGCCACCGGGCCACCCCGAATAACAAGCTTTTTAAAATGGGCTAAATTGAGGGAAACATATCCAAAGAGATTGGGAAAAAGCTGAGATACTGGGATGGGTACACCTGACTGTTTAAAAAATGTTTCTACTGCACATATTTACCTGTCTCTTCACTCCCCACCCCCCACCTCCTGCCTGGCCTGGCCGCACCTTGCGGAAGGACAGCTCCACCTCCAGATCCCCCTTGAAGTTGTACTGGGCCACAGCTTCTCCATACTCCAGCACCTGGTAGGTGGGGGGCTTGATGGGCTTGGGGATCTCATCTGCAGGCAGCACCTGCAGGAAGAAAGAGCATGAGAAGACTCACCTGGGCATCAACTGGGCCCAGAGTCGGGGCTCTTGAGAGGAGGATGCAACCAAGAGAAGGTGGTATGGGCAAGACCTGCCCCCAGGCCAGTGAGAAGACACAAGCCTGGGGGTGGCCCAGGGTGAGCACAGCCAAGGGGGTGGTTGGTCCCAGGTGGCTCCTGGAGGAAGAATTTCCACTAGAGGTATGTGGAGTGGGCACTACTGGAGTGGGCAATGGCAGTGCAAAGATGGAAGTCAGTCCAGTGAGAATTTAAACTGGAGCACAGAAGGAAATGAGAGTTCCAAGGAGCAGGGAACAATGATGACCTATTTTAAAAGTGAAGATCTAACACTTTACCACTGCCAAGAGCCAACTGTCCCTCTCCCACCTCCCTCACCAGGTGTCCAGAATCTCCATGCCCTCTTTGCTTCACCCTGCTCATAAAAATCAAGAAGCTGATAAACTGTTTCATCCTAAGATGTAAATGACTGATGACATGGAATACTGTATATACTTTGTGGAATTTCAGAATCTGAGATCATGCTGAGGGTAGGGGGGCCTACCAAGGCCCATCAAATCAAGAGCCCGAATTAAGGAACAATCCAACCCATGAGTCAAAGAGGAAATCACAACAGAAATGAGAAAATAGTTCAAGTTGAATGAAAAAAAAAAAATATCAAAATCTGTGGGATATGGTTAAAGCAGTGCTTAGAGGGAAATTTATAGCATTAAATGCTTATTTTAGGGAAAAAAAATTCAAGTCAGTAATCTAAACTACCACACTAAAAAACTAGAGAAAGAAGAGCAAATTGAACCTAAAGCAAGCAGAGGGAAGGAAATAATAAAGACGTAGAAATCAATGACTGAAAACAAAAATAAAGAAAAATCAATGAAATCAAAAATTAATTCTTTGAAAAGGTCAATAAAATTAACAAACCTCTAGACAGAACAAGAGAAGACACAAATTACCAATATCAGGAATGAAAGAGATAGCATCACTACAGATCTCACTGACATTAAAAGGATAAGAAAGAAATCTTATGAACTACTTTACGCCAATAAATTAGATACCTTGAAATTCCTTAAAAGACACAAATACCAAAGACAACCTGTACTAGTCTCACATCTCAAAACCAGAACGTGTCTCTGGATTCAGATTCTGGATCTTCTACTTAATACCTTGTCTCTGAACCTTAGCAAGCACATCTGTGAGATGAGGATAATCCATCACTTTCCCAGGTTACTGGGAGGAACGAGGGAGGGGTCCACATGAAGAAGAAGATGCCTGCTTATGTCATTTGTAAACTGTGCACGACTGGCACTCTTGCCAGCTGCAATTAGGATTCTTTCCAAAGACAGCTTGAGAGAGCTGGACTCTGAGTGGTGAGAGTCTGGGACACTGACAGGACTGGTGGTCTGCTGCAGGGGCTGGGTGGCCTGGGCCTCTCATGGGCTGGGCTCCACCTTTAGCCCTCATTTAAGAAATATTTCCTGAGTCGCGGCACTGGGCCAGACCCTGTGGAGGCCAGGGGCAGGAATGAGGGTGAGACTTGGCCCCTGCCCCTGGGGCTCACAGTGTTACTTCTCAGGAAACCTGAGAAGTGAGGGAGCTCCAGAGGGGAGGGGCTGTGGATGGATAAAGGGGTTTGCACACTAAGTCTGTGCCAACCCAGCTGGGCTCCTTCTTGCTCCCACCCCTCCCTGCTGACCTCCACGTAATTAGCAGGGAAGATGCCCAGCCTGCCATGGTGTTCCCCCTCCAGCCAGTTCTTGTCCACCTCCTTGTGGATGTAGACAATGTCGCCCTTCTTCAGAGTCAGCTCCCTGCAGGCCAGAGCAAAGACAACCACAAGCTGAGGTCTTCCCGATCCTCCTTCCTTTCAGACCTGTCCAGTGCCCCCAGAGTCCCCTCCACCCTCTGTGGATGCCCACTGCAGCCCTGTCCTCCCCCTCTCCCCCAGAGTGCAGAGACTGCCCCAGCGGGAGGGGAGAGGAGGGCACTTACTTGGGGGACTGTGCCTGGAAGTCAAACTTGAGCCTGGCGGCCTTCCTCTGGGCAGGGGGAGAAGACAGAGGGGCAGGTCCTCAGTCAAGCAACTGGCAGGTCCGGCCCAGCAGTCACTGGAATCCACCCCAGGCCCTCCTTGCCCCCTGACCCTAAAGCCCACAGCCCCCTTACCTTTTTCTCTTCCTTCCTGGCTGGGCTGCCCCCTCGTTCAGAGGCACTAGGATCTGTGGAGAAGCACTACCTCAGCTTGGGAAGGCCATGTCTGGCGGGTAGGGGTGGGGTGGGGTTGTGCCCCCCTCCCCCCCAAGGAAAGGCACCAGTGGAAGCAGGGGGATCTATGACCTTTCTGCCACCCCCGGGGGCACCAGCATATCTGGTGCGCGGTGGTGGGCGTCCGGGTGCGAAAAAGAGCAGGATCTGGTCCTTACCTCGGGTGGAGGAAGGGCAGACAAAGTCCCTATGACCTAGGAAGGGGCTTCCTCCATCCGCCATTCTGTGAGGGCTCAGGGGCCGAGAAGGACCCAGGTAAAGTGCATTCGGCGCGCTGGAGCTCCAGGCGGAGGCCGTGCTGCCCGAGGACACGGGCGAGTGAGCTACCTGTCTGGGGCCTCGCGCCCTCCCTGGTTCAGCCCTGACCGCCCACATGCCGCCCCCCCTCCCCGCCCCCCCCTCCCCTCTCAACAGCACGTCCTCCTTCCCGGCAGCGGCGGCGGGAAAGGGTGCGGCCCGGGCCGGGGACACGGCAGTGCGCATGGGAAGCGCGAGGGCCCCTCGCCCGCTCCGCCGCTGGCCGCCGCCCAGTCCCCGGGCTGGAGCAGGCTGCCCTGGCGGGCCGGGGGACGGTCTCCGGCGGCTGCGGTCCCCGCCGGCCCCGTCCCCCTCTCGGGGCTCGCACCCTCCCCGCGCACGCCCTGCGCTCGGCCGCGCCGCCGCCCCCGCCACGTCACCCGGCGCCTCTCCGCCCCTGTGCCCCCACTCACCCGGCGCGGGGCCGCGGCTCCCGCGACCGTCGAGGCGACTGGGAGCTCTGCGCGGGGAGACGGGCGCGGTCAGGGCCGGGACGCGGGTCCCAGGGCAGCCGAGGCCGCCGCCTCCGGAAAAGTTTGCAGCTGGGACGGGAAGGAGGTGGAAGGCGGGAGGGCGCGGGGTCCTAGAGTCCCGGCGCGGAGGCGGGCCGGAGCCAGAGGAGCGAGGAGCGGGGGCAGCGGGGTGGCGGCCGAGGGAGGGCAGGCCCGGGAAACCAGGGCCTGGGAGGGCTGGGGTCCCCGCGGGCTGAGGTCCAGGGGGCGCGGCGGGCCGGGGAGCCCCGGCGGCCGACGTCAGTGACGTGGACTCGGCCGGGAAGGGTTCGGAGGGCTCACTAGGAAAAGTCAACGCCCTGCATTTTATGGAGGAGCGAGCGGACAGCGACGGAGTCTGCCAAGGTCGCGCCGAGCGCGGCTGGAGGCGGACCTCTTGTCTGCCGGCCCCTCCTACCCAGCCCGGCTGCCGCGGGCCCGGCTCCAGCGCCCGTACCTTAGGGGATGGCTGCCGGGTTTCAATTGCCCGCAGGTCCTTGTCCAGCTCCGCGCTCAGCTTGGCCAGCTCTCTCTCCAGCAGGACCTGGGGGCGGGTGAGGAGGAGAGACTTGGGCAGTGGAAGGAGGGGCAGGCGCGGGGATTGGGGGGCACCGGTCAAAGGTCAGATGGGAGAAGCTCAGTGGGCAGCAGGACAAAGCACACGGTGCTCGGATAAAGGGCAGGCTCAGGGCACAGGGCCAAGACAGGCTCCCTGAGGGGAGGTGTGTCTCAGGGTGTCAGGAGGGCACCCCAGTCACAGCCTCTCACTGGCCCCTCCCTCCTGACCCAGCTCACCCATCTGGTACTCCCACGGCGGTACCTTAGCACTTCCTGATGGTGCCCTGGTACCATTTTTGGTCACGTTACTTCTCTGTTCAAGAGCCTTCAGGGCTCCCTGTTTCTCTCCCATGGAGTCTTCTATGGCCTTCTACAGTCAGGCCTCACTGTAGCCAATCTGCTTTCCCGCCCTCTGCCCATCCCAGCCAGCTGAGTGTTACACACACACAAGCCCCTCCAGCCCTTGTCTCTGCGTCTCCCCTACCCTGAGCACCTCTCTGCCTCGCCAAGCCCTCCCAACGCTTTAGAGCCCAGCTCCACCTCCAAGAATACTTCCTGACAATTCCAGTCCATGCTAACCACTCCCTCCTCAGCTCCTGCTGTGGTCAACACACATCTATTCAACACATGTTTGAGTGCGTGCTGTATGCCAGGCACTGTCCCCGTAAACTGTATGGACTGGAGAGGGTCAGAGCGTTGGGTCGGTGGCCTTTGCCCCTGGTCACTGGGGCTAACACCATCCAGAATCTCCCTCATTTGTCCCCCAATATTGCTGTCTCCCCTCCCTCCCACCTACCCTGCAGCACTCACCTCGATGGGCTGGGAGGGCTTCTCAACAGGGTCATCCACAAGTGGTTTCTTGGGCTAAGGATGGGAAGGGTGAGTCAGAGTGGGTGAACCACTTTCCCAAATGCACTAGCTGAGGGGTGCGTCCACTCCCAGAAGACCAGGCCAGCACTCACCTTCTGCCCAGTCTCTAGTTCTTGCAGAAACTGGTTCCAATAATCTTCCGTCCAGACATTGTCCACTTTCTCTCGGCATCGGGTCACCTGCATGGAGGTGGGTGGGCATCAGCTGGAATGGAGCAGTACCGGGACAATGGCCAGGCTCAAAGAGCAGGCTTTCAGGCCACTGCCCCACTCCTATGCCTCCCGGAACCCTCCTAAGGATTCTGGGTTCTCCTGGCTGCAGCATGACGCTGGGGGCGGTATGGGGAGGATGCTGGGCTGGCTACCTGATTTGGGGTCTGGAGCTGGGAGGAGGATGCTCCAGGATTACAGTTGAAGGTGCTTCTAGGAAACTCTTCAGAGAGGTCCCAGCTTCTTCTAAAGAAAGGGAAGGACATCTCTTCAGTTTCCTTTTAGGGAAACTGAGGCATACGTGAGACCACAGCCCTGGTAGAGGGAGCTGCGCCCGTCTCCCCACCTGCTCTGGGCTGTGGAAGCAGTATTAAATAGTGGAAAGTTATGAGCCCCGAGTTCAGATCCCAGCGCCAATACTTAGCTGTGTGACCTTTGGGCGTTACTGAACTCTCAGAGCCTCAGAGTCAATACCTGTAATAGGAGAAGGAGTCCCACCTTCGTAAGGGTGTGGTGAAGCTGAGGTGAGGGAACACATGTGCCACCTGGGAGAAGGCCTGACCGGTGCATCTGCTCCATGGGTAGCTAGTCCCCTTCCTGCTGGCCTTGGTGAAATATCCTGCATTTGTGTTCAGTCTGGCCCCACAACCGTGGCTATGGATGTTCGTGCAGCTTCAATGCAGCTGATCTTTCCGGCTGCCACGGCTCAAGTGGTCTTGCCCAAGGTGTGGTTCTATATCCTAGTCCAAGGAAAACTCAGGGCAAGGGACAGGAGTCCTGGGCAAGTTATTTCTGCTCCCTGGGCCTCGGTTCCCTGAGGGCACTGGATCAGCGGCGCCACCAGTGAGAGCCATTCCAGCCACAGAGGCGCTGCTCTGTCCCATCTGCCTTGGTCCCCCCAGGGTGCCCTTCTCAGCTAGCTTGAATGTTCCAGCCTCTGTTGAGTTTGAAGGTTTCCACCAAATGGAACTGCTGTACCAAGTTGATCAAATGATGGAATGTCTGACTGGAGGGTCAGGATTTGTTGGCTGTAAGTAAGACTCTATAGTCTATTTTAGACATAATATTAGTAATAACAGTGATCACAAGAATGGAATACGTCGTTCCTAATTGAAGGAAGCTCCAGTCATAATTAAGCCTGTATATTAATACTGTTTGTGGAGACTTGCTACGTGCCTTAATCCTCACAACCACCCTGTGATCCCCACTTAACAGATGGGGGAGACAGAGGCTTACATTGGTGAGACAGAGGCTTAGATTGGTTTAAGTTGCCCAAGGTCACGTGGCTAGTGGCAGTACACCAGTTTGAATCCAGAGCTCTGGGTCCAAATCTTGAGCTGTTAGCCTCTATCTTATTGAACCTCATCATGGCTACGCTAATGAGGTTAATCCTCCCTGTGAAGGAATAAGAAACTCATTGTTTTCACTCTGAGAGCGAAGCTCCTAACTCCCAAGGGTGGAGGCCCTCCAGGGCCCTGGCAGCCCCGCTGAGCCTGTGGGGTTTGCACAGAGGAAGAGAACTGCAGCCTTCAGCTATCTGGAGGGGGCATTTGGGAGGAAACTTGGGATCCTCTACACCGTGTGTTTTCTCTCAGGCTTCAGAGTGGATGGTCACGGGTCCAGGCCTAAATGCGGGCCACCCTCTCTCCACCCCACATGACCTGTGGATCTTTGGGGTGATGAGTTCCTGCTGCCGACCACAAAGGCATCACAAACATTCCTGACCAGGAGTGGGTGCAAAGCCCACCCCTGCCCGCCATTCCCCATTGGCCCTGTCTAGGAAGGGAGTATCTGGAGCCGTGGGGACCCTGAGAAGGGGCAGGGCCCCGGGGGGAGTGTGACCCCAGCCTGGCTGCTCCGAGGCTGCGCCGGCTGTGGCCACCAGGGGTGCCAGTCCCCGCAAGGCAGCCAGCACCCCTCTGCAGTCCTGGTGTAGGGGGCCCTTCTCCACCATGGCTCACCCGCTCAGAGACGAGGCCTGGCCTGGCCTGGAGACAGGTCTTTGCTGGAGTCCTGGATGCCTTGAGTCTGTAGAGGTGACACATGAGGAAGCCACTGAAGGTGGGAGAAGACAGGGTGGGGGGAGGTGAGAGCTAGGGTTGAAGGCGTCTGGGTGACCATTGAAAGTTCTGGCACCCACGCCCACCCACATTCCTGGGTGGCTCGTGGAAACAGGGGTGGTGCTCCCAACCACTAAATGTGGGCTTTGTGCCAAGAGCTTTACCCCCTTTATTAAATCTTCAAAATAACTCTGGGGTAGGTGGTGCCCCCATTTTACAGATGAGGAAAGAGAGGCCCAAAGAAATCATGGCCAGGGCTAGGCATTTGCTGGACAGTGAGGCTGAAGCTCTTAATTACCACCGACCAACCAGGGATTCAGAGCTCACTGGAAATGGGCTCTAAAAACTTCTCAGGTTGAACTAAGCCAACTGGGGAGCCCCAAAGCCAGGCAGGGGTACAGGGAGGGGCAAATGCAGGTGCTGGGCTGGGGCGAGTACCCGCACCCCCTCACCTTTGGGTGCAGGTTCCTCAAAGATCCAGTCCTGCTGCAGGTCTGCGGGAGGAGAAAGAAGCAGGCCAGGTTAGGGCAGCAAGTGAGGATGGGAGCTCTGAGAGGCTGCCTCAGCTGCTCCCAGGCTCCCTCCTGCCTGAAGCAGGGGCCAAGGGGCTGAGTCAGGGCGTGAAGAATGTCCGGAGGGAGGGAAGGAATTAGGCGGGCAGTTCTCGGGAGGGCTTGACATGCCTCTGGCAGACTTAGCGCCTGAGCGAGCCAACCCAGGCAGTGGACTTGCCCAAACCCTCCGGCTCCTCCCTCCTGTGTTCCCACACACACCCTCTCCCTGACCTTTGTGGACCTGCCCTCACCATGTCAGGTTGGGGAAAGTCTGCTTTCTCTGCTCCCTCTTTCCCTTTCTGCACCCTCTTCTAAATGCCCGTCCTTCCCCCTTTGCCCAGACTCACTCCTCATGGTGCTCGTGACTTTCCAGGGCCTCTTAGGAAAAGACACTGACCAGCCAGCGGGTCTGATCCCCTTGGCATGCGGACGTGCCGCAACAGCTCCCACCTTAAACACAGACTGAAACACCTCTCTCCAATCCCACATGTCCCTCCAGCTCCTGGATTTTTCTGGTTGGCTGTAAGTAACTCACTGTCTCCAACTCCCCCTCTCACTAAGCAGGCTTTCAGCCTGAACAACTCTCATCAAGGACCCTGGTGACCTCCACATTTCCAAATCCAATGGTCAGCAGTGCTGACCCATCAGCAGCATCTGTCACAGCGGATCACTTCCTCCTTTTGAAATTCTGGTTTCATTTGGCTTCAGGGAGACCCCTCTGGTTTTACTCCTACCTTCCTGGCAGCACCTTCTCAGGCTGCATGGCTGACTCCTGCTCAGCTCTCGAACCTTTAAACATCCAAGTGCCTCAGGCTCAGACCTTGGGGCTGCATCTCTCCATCTCCCTAGGTGACCTCGTCTAGTTTTCTGGCTTAAAAAATATCATCTATTCCAGGGATTCACAGCCTTGGCTGCACATCAGAATTACTTGGGGAGCTTTAAATCAACATTTCTTTGAGTAAGTCCCAGGTATTTCTATTGCTCCTGAACCACAGACTTGTGTATTAACTGCCTACTCAACATCTCCACCCGATGTACCGGACCTAAAATGTACTGACTGCCTCTTAGACCTGCAGGTTCCATAGTCTTCGCTGTATTTAAAAATGGTAACTCCATCCTTCAGCTTGCTGGGTTTAAAGTCATCCTTGACCCCTCTCAGTAGCCCGCTGCTACTGCCCTGGTCTGAGACACTGTCGTCTCCAGCCTGGATTAAAGCCAGGCCTCCTAACTGGCTTCCATCCCTGCCCCACCATCTCTTCCCCACCTGGCAGCCAGAGTGAGCCTTTTCAGCCATCAATCATCAGAGCATGTCACACTTCTGCTCACAATTTCCCTGTGGTTCCTCAGCTCTCGCAGAGTAAAAACCAAAGTCCTTACCATGGCCCCAAAGGCCTTGCATGATGTGACCCGGCCCCTCTCTGACTCCATCTCCTACCACGTGCCCCCTCTCACTCCAGCCCAGCCCCTCCTTGCTGCTCCAGATCGGGCCAGGCCTGCTTCTGCCTCTGGGTCTCTGCTCCCCTTGCGGCGGCACTCCTCCCAAGCCCTGCAGGGCTCACTGCTTCATTCCTCAGCTCCCTGCTCAGCTGCCGCCTCTCAGGGCCTTGCCTGACCTGCCTACAGCCGCAGTACCTCCCTGTACTGGCACCCCCAGCCTTTTTCTCCCTGGTCTCTCCACCATCTGCCACGTGAAATACGTCTCTACTGATTCCGTCTCCCTCTGTCTTAGCTTCACCAGGGGAGGGACATTCTTTTTTGTTCCCTATCTTCAGCACCTACAATAGTGCTCGGCACACAGTAAGTGCTCAATAGATGGTCAAGGGTGTGCCTGAACCAGTGAGTGCCCTTGTGGCTTCCCAGTACCCTCAGAGGATACCGTAGACAATGTTTGTCATTGTCCTCTGAGGACAGGGGGCAGATTGGAGCCCCCTTTGGCCTGTTTCAGGGACCACTCACCACAGAGTCTGGGGTGGGTGGACAAGGCCTCCCCGAGCAGGTGAGTTCTCTTTTCTGAATCCCCACCCCAGCCCCAGGGGCCGGAGCCCACTCAGGCAGAGAGAGGGCCCTGGAAGGGGGTCTCACCTGGCATTTTCCGGTGAATCTGCTGGAACATTCTCCGGTACCAGTCCCTGGGGCTGTCAACACTCTGGGATCAGAAAAGGCAAAGTCAGGCCACCCTCCCAATATCAAGTCACCAAAGTGTTCCCTCACTGAGTCCTTTCTCTGGCCACCCTTGAAGCCCCAGTGGGTGGGCTGTTATCTGTTGTATCTTTAATAACAGTAACTTCACGTGGCGTGTTCCATATGAATAAGACACATGGAAGCATCTCCATCAGTGATGACCTCTGAGCTGTGAGATAGGGGTGGTTTACGTTTTTTCTCTTTGCTTTTCTATATTTCTGATGTTTCCACAAAGAACATGTGTTTCTAGGTCATGAAAAATAAATGCAGTCATAGAGGGGGAAATGGTATTTCACATCCCCTGCCTCACCTGAGACTCACAACAGGGTCTCAGGGCGGGACGTCCCGCCTGGGTGGCAGGACGGGCATATTGCCAACTTCAGGTTCACATGAGGAGGCGGAGAACCAGAGGCAGGCGGCTGGCTCAGGACAGGCGTGGAGGCAGAAGCGGGCAGGGCCCCCCAGAGCCTGGGCCCAGATGCTTCCATGCCTGCTATGGCGTGAGGCCTCTCACTCAGCCCCCCACTCACTCATTCAGCCAGTCATTCATTGAGCAGCCAGTTCACGAGTGCCGTGCAAGGCCCATCCTTGCCAGGAGCAAGCCTCCCAACAGTGGCTCTCCGCCTCAGAGAACTTGGGGGCATTCTAGCTCCCCTTTTCCCCCCAACAAACCACTTGTGCAACTCAGACACACAAGAGTGCCTGTACCTTTATGGGGCTCATGACCCCCGAAACCCATCATGGTTGAACCCCTGCTTTAGTCTGGAATGGTCTGGGTACAGCCCTTGTGGCCCCTACTTTAGTTCACAGAAGTGAACCATCATCTGTCAGTGGCCCCCAGCCCTGGACTCACAGATCGGGGGGCGATAGGCATGCCGCTCTCATCCACGGGCCCGATTCCCTCGTATTTGACCCAGCGCTTGTCCCGACGTTTGCTGTCCTTAGTCCACGTGGCTGACCAGTTCTGGGGATGCTGGGAGGCTGGGGTCTTCTGGCTCCCAGAGGGCCGGCTCCCAGGGCCTGGCCAGGTCTGATACCAAGCAGGGTCTGTGGGGTGTGTGCAGGAGAGCGTTAGCAAAGGGCAGGGACCCCACCTGAACTTGTTCGTCCCTTAGCTCCTCAGAACATTGATCCCTGTTGGTTCAAAAGTTTCAGCATCTCCTTGTTTGTTTGAGTTGATGACGCAGACTCTAAAAACCTCCCCATCCCCAGCAGGACCACGAGCCTCTGTTTATTTTTTAGTAAAAGTGAATGAGAATGGATTTTGTCATGAGAAATCTGTGCCCACCCCCACCCCACATTGCTTTCCTAGGGCTGTCCTAAGACTTTTCAGGATGAGTGAGGGCTGGGAATCATCATTTGCAGAGAATGCTGGGGACATCCCAGCTAGGGAGGCAGCAGGATGTGGCAGAAAAGACTCTGGGCTTGGAGGGGACAGACCTGAATTCAGACCCCGGCTCTGCCACCTACTGGCTGTGTGACCTTGGGCATAGCAATCAACCTCTCAGTACCTCAGTTTCCACACATGTAAAACGAGGGTAATCATGGCAAAGATTCAGGGAGATCTCGTGTGTGTGACCAGCACAGTGCCTGATCCACAGTCAAGAGGCTCTCGATAAGGGACAGAAACTCATTCACCAGACGTGGTTACTGTGTCCTCAACTTCCCCAGAACCTCAGCCCCCAGGTCACCAGTATAGCAGCATAAGGGCTGCCAGGCCAGACAGACAAGGATTTTTTTTTTTTTTAATAAGTTTTTTATTTTTTAATTTTATTTATTTTTTTCCCCCAAAGCCCCAGTAGATAGTTGTACATCATAGTTGCACATCCTTCTAGTTGGTGTATGTGGGACGCGGCCTCAGCATGGCCAGAGAAACGGCGCATCGGTGCGCGCCTGGGATCCGAACCCGGGCCGCCAGCAGCGCAACGCGCGCACTTAATCACTACGCCACGGGGCCGGCCCGACAGACAAGGATTTGAATCTCAGCTCAGCCTCTGCAACTGCACATCTCTGAGACCCAGGCTCCTTACTGAGAAGATCCTGATAACTGTGACTTACCTTGCCAGGACACTGAGGGATTAAATGAGAAAAGGCTGCAGCATGTTCTAAGTGTTCAACAATTATTTGTTAAATGAATAAACTACTTGACACAGTGCCCGCCTCAAGGGAATGCTCAATAAAGGATGCCATCCTCCTCAGGAAAGGGGCCTTCAGGGTGGGCCTGCACCCCAGAGGTCCCAGGATCTCCCAGAGCCCATAGGCCAGGCTGGGGAGGTTCACAGGAGCCCAGGAGCTGAGAGGCTCTCCAACTTTCTGCTGTGCTGGTGAGTACAGACCTTAGGGTGCAGCATCCACCCCTCTACAGCCAACATACGCTCACATTCCTCCACCCTTCCATCCCCGGTCCAAGCTATTCCCTGGCCTGCTGGAGGCCACTCTGGGGCCCAAGGCTCTGTCCCCTGTACACTTCCCTCGCCTGGCACTGGGGGAGGGGAGGGGAAGGGATCTATCAGCCTGCTCTCTCCCACAGCGAATTTCACTCTCATAGGCCAACACGCTCACACTGGGAGGGGCAGTTAGCTGAGCTCAGAGGTCCCCCATCCCTCCCCTACCCCTCCTGCCAGACCCAGGGTGGTAGCAGATGGCAGGGCCCAGGAGGCTCTGATCCCCCAACCCCCACACGGGACTCCTGAGCAGACCCACCTGGGTGCTGGGAAGCATCTCTCAGTGGGAAGTACCCATTGCATACAGTCCTGGGCGCAGGGTCATGGAACTGGAAATTAAGGGTGTTGGAGCCACCATTCCGGATCACAGGCACCTGTGGGGAGGGGCCAGGAGCAGCAGCTCAGGCCCAGAAGGTTCTGCAGAAGGTGGGAGGGATGGCTACCAGGGCACAGCCAGAGTCCATGGTGAGGGCTCGAGGGCCAGCCTGACCCTTCTGGGGGAAACCGGCGAGGCTCTCTAGAGCTGCCTCCCAACCCTTCCCTCCCTCCATTCCTTTAATCCTCCTGCCCCTACCTGTCCTGCGAGGTCCCCGCCAACTGTGGGCTCACAGCACTCCCTCTCCCTCGCTGTCTCACTCACCCGTGTACCCCGGGAGGATGACCCTAGGTGGGCCTGGAGGTGGCTAGGGATGAAGTCGTCCAGGCTGAGCCCAGTGGGGAGGCTGCAGGGTGGGGCCTGCATGCTTGGGTCAAGGTCGGAGGACTCCCGGTGTGCCAGCTGCTCCGCTGTTTGTCCTCTGTGGGGAAGGAAGGAAGGAGGAAGGAAAAGTCCTGCTGAGCCCAGGCTGCTGTGCCCTCTGGGCCTGACCCCAATAGCGGTGGGGGAGGAGGGCACGGCTGTGGGAAGGGGTCGAGACCAGCTGGGTGGGAGCTCAAGGACCCAGGAAACAGCCGCTGCAGGCCCCTCCTGCAGGCTGCCCCATGCCGGCTCCTAGAGGCACAATGGGCTCTTGTTAGGCCCCAGGCAGGAGCTCGGGGTGGGGGTGGGAGTGGGGGAGGGGAAGGCCCAGGCAAGGAGGAGGGGAGGCTGGCCAGGAGCAGGCCTGCTGGACAAAGCCTGGGGCCCGTGGGCCTGCTGGTCAGCCCCTCTGGGGCTCTCACTGCACAGTGCAGCCTGCTCCCCCAGAGGGAAGGCAGAGGGAACTGGGGCAGCTGGCAGGGGCAGGTCTGGGCACTCAGCATTTTGTTTCAGTTCCCTCTGCCTCCCCCAGGCCCTGCGTGCGCATCTGCTTGCCAGGGGGCACAAGGGGTTACTCAGGCCGGGGAAGAAGCCCTGGACAACGGCAAGGCCATCCGCCCACTGCCCAACGGGGCCAAAGTTCTGGGGACTGGGAGAGTGTGGAGGCATTTCCAGGCAGCAGGAACCACTCCTGGACTCAAAGTTTCATCTCCCTTCTTTGGCATCCTTCGCTTGCTGGGACTGAAGCCTCACAGGGCTCAGGGTGCCAGTGAGGAGTGGGAGTGGAGAACGAAGCAGTGGGTGAGGGCTCTGTTGGACTTGCTGATGGAGGGGTGGTGCTGAGTGCCGCACACAAAGACACATACACGTGGGCACACACGGAGACACAGACACATGCACACCCCACTGCCTCCTACACCTCCAGGCTGTTTTTTGAACGAAGGATCTTCCTGGGAGCACCATGCCTGACTGGCCAGCCGGGTTCTTCTGCCCCATGCAAGGGTTGGGTCAGGGTAAGGGGGCTCCAGGCACTCTGGAGATGGAGGCAATGGGGCTGTCCAACAGGGCTTTTCTACCCAGAGGGCTGAGGTGTGGAGCCTGTCTCTCCTCACCTGTGCTATTGCACCGGGCCAGAAGCTGAGCCAACCTCTACCACCTTCTGGGGCTAGACCAATTCTGGCATTTTTGTTCACCAGTTAGCCTTGTGTGTGCCTGTGGTGTCTGGGGGTTCATGGGAGGGCTGCGAGGGCCTTATGAGGTGCTGTGTGTGTGTGTGTGTGTGGTAGAATGTAAGCACAGTGCTGTGAACGCGACTTGGGGAGGGTACCACCCAGGGTCACGTGAGCAGAGTGGGGGTGTGGGTACAGAGGGGTGTCAGCTGAGTAATAGGTGGGGGAGTGTGCAGTGGGGGGTCATATGAGCAGCACAAGAGTTATGGGGACCAGAGGAGAAGAAGGTACAAGAGGGGCTGTATTACTCCGGTACCCAGTTCCTGCTCAGGCCATGGGGGGCTGGAGGGTAGAGACAAGGCTAGGGGCAGCTCCCTGTCTCTGGTCTGAGTGAGGATTCCTTCTGACATTCAAAAGACCTATCGAGGACATAGCTTTTCCATGCTCATCCCTGGCTGTGGAAGAGTGGAGGGCTGGGGCTGGAGGAGGGGCAGCTCACCAGCTGGATCCAATTAGGCCTCCTACCAAGAGCAAAACATGCAGACCCGCCCCAGTTCTCCTGCTCTCCCTCCCCTTGTGGGGGAAATTGAGGCAGGCAAGAGCCTGAGAACAGAGGCCTGGAGAAGGTTGGTTCCTAGCAGCAACCCCTTCCTGCCCAGCTGACTGCTTGAGGCCAAATTGCCAGGTCAGCATCAGCAGCCCTAACCATCAGCTGACCAGGCCTCCTTCCCTCGCCTCGGTCCCACCCTGCTGTGCTCGTGAGAACTGCCCTCTAGTAGGATGGGGTGGGGGCAGGAGGTCCCCCCACACACCGATTTTTCAGGGGTTGCTGATCCTTGGTGGCTCAATCTGCCCCTCCCCAACACTGTGCCCCGTGGCACCCCCCAGGGATATGCAGGGTTGGGTGGGGAACAGTGGCTGAGTTTTTCTCCTGGCAGCCAGCCAGGAGACATTAAGGAGGACTTATAGGGGAGACAGAGGCACGGGCGAATTGGTCCCACGCCCGGCAGAGGACAGAGGGTACCAGGAAATCTACGGGGTCCCCCCAGAATTCAGGAAGCCCTTCACCCCGGCAGCCAGCTCCAAAGGGCTGGAAGAGCTGCAGAAGCCGTGTTGGAGTCGGTAGGCTCCTTCCCACTTCCAAGTACCGCCCCGACCCCGGGGGCTTGGCTCTCGGCGCTTTCCCGGGTATTCTCCAGCTACAAGTCCACATGGACACGGCCAGGTTTCCTCGAATTTCGCCTTTTCTGAATTGAGGGAGGGCCTCTTACCTCTTTCCACCTCAGAGTTTGGGACGAGGACCCCAGGGGGAGGGGCCCTCTGCCTTCCCTTCGGGTCGGGCGCGGCTCCCTCCCGGCCTGCGGCCCCCGCCCCCTCTCCGCCCCTCTCCCTGCCGGCACCTACCTTCCCCGGCGAGCAGGTGGCGGGGCCTAAGGATGCCCGGGAGAGCAGGGGCATCTCTGCCCGGCTCCTGCCTGGCGCGGCCGCGGCGGGCGCTCGGGGAGGGAGGGCAGGCAGAAACCCGGGCTGTGCCGTCCGCCCTCGTGACCGGGTCAGGACGGGGCCCGCAAGGCCGGCGCCCGAGGGGAGCGGGGGACCGACGGGGCCGAGGGCGCGCGCCGCAGGAGAACCAGAAGAGGCGCGGGCGGGCGGCAGTGTCTCCCTTAGTCTGGACTGTGGGCCGCTGGGGGGCGGGGGCGGGCGGCGACTCCCTCTCCCGCTGGCGGCCGGGGGCGTGCGAGTGCCCTCCGTCGGGGCCGGGCGGGCGGGGAAGCCGGGGCCCCTGCAGAGGGGGCCGGGCCGGCCGGAGGCGGCGCCAGGAGGGGCCGCCGAGGGTCCCCGGGGAGCCCGCTCGGGTTTCCCAGCTGCCTCTCCCGGCCCCCACCGCAGGGCTGGCGTCGGGGCGGGGGCGAGAGCCACTCAGAGTTTCCAGCGACATTTCCAGCGTGTGGGAAGGGAGCCCTGCGCGGCGGAGCCAGGACAGAGGGCAGGACTGATTCAAGAGGCCGGGCCGAGCCAGCAACTGATACGGAGCCGGCAGCCTCGGAGACAGGACAGGGCTGCAGACAGGCTGGGGCCGAGATAAGGGCGCCGCGTGCAGAGCGGCCTAGCGGACCGAGTTCAGGTCCCGCCGCCTCCCTCCGCCCCTGGGGAGAGAAATCTCGTGCTTGCGTAAGCGCGCGCCCGGCGTGTGCAAACACACACACACACACACACACACAGGCGCGCGTGCACTGCAAACGGGCGGATGCTCACACACGTGCAAGCACCGCGGAGGGCAGCCCGGAAAGGAAATCCACCGACGGGAGCTGGCCCCCTAGGCGAGCCGCGCCCCTGAAGAGGATGAGGGCGGAGTCCCTTTGGCCGGGATGGGGTTACCGGGGTCTTGGTGTTCCCATACGCGTGTCTGTTTTGATCTTGCTGCTTTTCCGCTGTTCCTGCTGCTCTGACACGGGTCTCAAGAGCCCGCGTCCAGTGGCTCTCCACCCCTTGGTCATCCCTCTTCCCCTTCTCCCCCAAGCCTCTGGTGGGCACAGGGCCTGTTACAGAAAGTGAGGGTGCTTACTGAATGTTTACTGCTGATGGAAAGACTCTGGAGTACTTCTTAGCCGTTGGCTTGGTTCTGGGACCTCAAGCTCCAAACCAACCATATAGCAAATAGTTATTGGGCAATTTCAGATCCATTTTGGGAGTGATCAATTATAAATTATGAAAATATGAAAACGTTTACTGCATACCTACTGGGTGTAAGATTGGTGCCCTGAGGCCACCATGCACTTCAGAGTGTTTTCCAAGCACATCATTCAACCTTCAGAAGGAAGAAGGAAGAGAATGGAGGAAAGATGAAAGAATCTTTTCTTAAATTCCTACATCGTTGATGCTATTAGCTTGATCCTTCCTCAATTCAGTTAAAAGATGTTTCCAGTTGGGGTGAACCAGCTTGAAACAATATCACACGTGAAAAGCAGAACGAGATGTTTAGGCTGAGAAGAAGCTTAAGAGAGGGAGGCATGCTGGCTAGCTCCCAGTGTCTTCAGGGTGGTGTGAGGAAACAGACTGGCTGCACCAGCAGAAGTGGGACCATTGGGTGCCCACTTGGAAGCAAATCCAAGGTTTCCAAGGATGAGCTTTTACATGATTACAGGAATTCTGTACTCTGCCAATTGGGGGACACCTTTGTAAAGGCAATGATTGCACGGAGCAGGGAGCTGAACGAGATCACCTTGAAGACCCCTTCCAAGAGTCAGTGATTTTCCAGGACAGCAGGGTTGGGATGGGTAGCCCTGCCCACAGACGACAGCTGCAGAAAGGAGTGTAGGAGCTCTCGGACTTCCTGAGGGCAGACAAAGGGCATTTTCCCTTCCCTAAAGCTTGGATACTTACTTACCCACCCCTAGGCACCATCTCCTTCCCTCCCTCAGGGACAAAATATGTGCCCATGTCCCTTGTCATCAGTTTTTTCCCACCTGTCAGGATCCTCACGACTAAGAAGGGCCACATCTTTTTCATGTTCTTCCTTGTTCTCCAAAGATGGTGAAGCTGAAGATCTCCTAGCTCCAGGAATCCTGGCCATACCCTCTCTCACCAGCAGCAAGCTTCTCTCATTCTCTAGGGCTCTGACCTGGACTCCAAGATAAATATTTAACGTAGAGGGTGCAGCTGAGCTGACAATGGTCTCAACTTCCTTTGTGTCACAAAGGGAGGTGGCAGCCATGGGCAAGGAGCTGGGGACTGGCTACCAGTTTCATCTCTATGGGAACAGGGAGTCCAGTAAACAGCTTGTAGGAGGAGGCGGGGTAGGCCTTGCTGGAGGAAACCTGAGCCTTTCTCCTGAGCTTCTTGGACTTCTGCCTGTCTACTTAGGCCCGGGCTCTGCTGTGCTTATCACCTTCTCTCTCAGGACAGAAACTGCTTTGCCCTGGCACCAGTGGAAATGGCCCTCCTTCCCAGAGTCTTAGGCTATGTGCTTGGACAAGAGCTGTAACAGGATCCCTCTATCATGTTTCCTCGTGCCCATCCAGCTTGACAGAAGAGAGGATGAGAGATTGGTGGGAGCATAGAACATAAGGAACCTTGACCGACTCCTCCTTTTCTGCCCATATTTAGGGAGAAGAATCCCTCCTCTTTGAAAAGTGGAAGATTAAAGGGCAAAAAGTACCAAAGTCCAGAGATTCAGCCAAGAAACAGGTGTCTGATTTCTCAGCTCCTCCCTCCAGTCTCAGTTCTACTTGCTGCTGGCCCGACCCCTAAGACAGCTGGCATGGTTTAGGGAGAGGCTGAGGATAGGGAAGGCTGTCCTAGGTGACCTGGCTGTTGTCAACAACAGAGTAGATTCCTTTCACCCCAATCCACTATCTCCTCTGGCGTCTGCCTTATTATCTAACAGGGACCTCCCTCCCTGTGACTCTTCCACATCTCTGGGACTGCCTTTTGTCAGGGGGCTGCCTCTGTCTTCTTAGAGCCACTTGAGCCATGGTAAACAAAGTTACATAACTGCTCTGTTTTTCCTCGCTATCTGATCCTGCTCAGCAGGATGCCCCACACCCACCCTGCTCCTTGAGGCTGCCACCTTGTACACTATGGATTATCCCCCAGTGGCACCCATGTCAACAGAGGTCTGTCCACGCCCACCACCCTAAGGGATGATTAGCTGAGAGACTACCAATAGATGTTGTGGCTCTTCACACCAAGGGGAGAAGAGGGTGGCTGTTCATACAGGAATACAGGTCACTCTGAAAACCAACCTCTGTTACCAAGAGGAGGGATAAATGGAAAGAGCACTTAAGTAGTTTTTTTTTTGTAAGTGAGGAGGGTGAACAGAGAATTTAGTTTTATTTCTCAAATGAGAGAAAGGAAGCAACGGATCCCAGAAGACATAAGCCTGAATTCTTGTTTCTTGAGGAGTGTCTTTATCTAGTGCTGGGAGTCTGGCATTCGAATGTCACCCTCTGAGATCTACCCTGAGCAGCCAAGGGGGCTCCCTGGCTCTGTGCCTCAGTCCCCCGACATTAGACAAAAGAAGGGCATTTGCTATTGCTTCTCTCCTCCTCCCCAGGGATGAACTCCTGGTATATTCTTTAGTTAGTTTTTTATTTGTGCTCTCAGAAATGAGTTTTCTTCTTGCCAGGGGAACTGAGCAACCAGACCAGAATGGCTTAGCAAAGAAAGCAATGTCCCTTTCAAGGAGTTTAGACTTCTCTAGAGGGGAAGACTACAGTGACCCACAGGAAAGAATTGAAACCAAGTCACATCAGACACACCAGTGCAAATCTGGACTGTGTTTCATGCCCTGGGCTCCATCTCTTTCTCTGGGTCCTCTCCTGATTCCAGCTCCTGCTGATGTTGCCAGCCAAATTCCACTGATGGCCCTCATCTATGCCAAACACTCATGGGAACAAGAGCAACAGAAGAGGAATACAAGTGACCCACTGTGGGGCTTGGAAGACCCTCCTAAGCTGACAGTGGCATGACCTGGTCCCTCTGGAATCCAGATTTTTTGATATAGTCACTGTAAAGTAAGGGATCTCTGTGAGTCAAAAAATACCCAATACAGGTCAAGTATGGTCAGTGTCAGGGCCAGGCAGCCAGGGTGAATAAGTGGATCCCTATGGGAACAGAGAATGAGGCTTTCAGGCCTGCCTTGCACAAATATTTCCATAGCACACACATGATGTAACAGGCATCTACTTAGGGTTCTCAGAGTCAACTATATGCAAACCCCAAAGGCCATGAGAGCACTCAGTCTTTTGTCCAATTATCTAGTCATCCTTCTTCAAGGATGCCTCTACACTGACGTCACATCGGCCACTGTTCTCTCTCTCCCTCCCTCCTTTTGTAGATGAGCACACAAGGACAATGTGCAGATGGGGTGTCTTTGAGAAGAACCAAGCTAGATGAACCTCTTTTAGTTCTCACGAAAGAAAGAGCAAGTGGCTGTCAGCTCTTTAGGAAGCAGATTTTATAAGAGAAGGATAAATAAGTGATGACCTCAGAGGGAAAACCCAACCAAGTTAACTCAGCCACAAACAAGGGCACACAGACCAGGAGCTGGAAAACTGGGTCTGCATCAACCTTCTTTCCTAGAGCAGGTAAATGGAGATAAGGAAGATGAGAGGGCTGATTTCTTGGCCAGTGGACACCGCAAGGTAGTGCTTTGGCCTCCAAACAAAGAATAACCTTGTCTTCCCACCTCCTTCAATTCTATGATGAACCTTCTCCTGAATTGCAGCAACGTTAAAAAGACTGCCTAATTTGCCATTAAGTTATTAATCCACTGTATCAAAATTAAATGGACTTTCTCTCTAAAACCTGAAAGTTATGATAAAAATTTAAACAAAAAGATCATGCAATTACATACAGCAGGCAAGAAAGCAGGGACTGGATCTAGATGTAGTAAGAGTTAAACATGAATTTGCATTTGAGTTCTTAATTTCCAGGCTTGTAAAAATTTTTTTCACAACTCTGGAAATAAAGGCCAATAGAACCTCATTCTACTGAAGGTTTAGCTGAGGTATAAGGACACTGCTCAGTCAGGACGCTCTTGGGATAACAAAAATTCCAAAATGTATACTCAGCTCATTTGAAAGGAGAAATCTGGGCTCATCTTCCAGCCTGTAAACTGCACTGTGGCCCTTGATATGGCTGTCCTTACAGTCAAATTGCCATACTTAGGCCTGGCAGGGCCCAGACCTAGACTTTCCACCTCTACTGCCATAGCCCATAGCATTCCTTCACTGATACATTCTCCTCCCCAAGGACCCCGGGCACTTTCCCTATCCTTAATCCCCCACTTGACCAGAGGAGGTTATTTTTCCTTGTGAATCCACAGCACCTCATGATATTTCTACTTTTCAGAGGAATCAAAAGGCTGGTCTGACACTTCCTTTTCTTGGTAGTCCAACTCCACATTCCACTCCTCTCTGGCTTATCTGACTTCTCTCAAGATGGAATTCATCCATGTCTATTATTAAGATCCCATGCAGAGTTATTAAATTACTATAATAAAAATTATTTTTATCTTTTGTAAAGACTATATGTTTTCTGGGATGTCTTTCTTCCTTTCTTCAAGGCGCTGGGACTTGAGCATGAGTTAGTGGTGGGCAAAGTGCAGGAAGGAGGCTGGGGCGAGGGAGTGGATTCTGAGTGGGAGAAATAGAAACACCACTGCAGCCAGCAAAGCCAGTTTAAAACTAAATGGCTGAAGAGGTGAAGGAAAGAGGTCCTTTTTATTCTGATGGGATTCCTTTCCTTGAGAGGGGAATTCCTTGCAATTATCAGAGACCAGACATCAAACGTCAGGCTTTCCCTTGACTTCTGGAATTATTACATCAGTAAGAGCCAAATATAAGTGCCTCCACTAGGAAACAAAGGAAATAAAGACACAGGGAGCCAATAAAGTTATCATTTAATTTTAAGAGTGTTTTCTTCTTTTTTGTTTAAAGATGACTTCCAACTTACAGTAAGAAATTTTTAACATTAATTTCTTGTTCACAAAAAAGATGTATTAAATGATTTCTGCCAATAAATAACATTTCCACCATTTTCTTTAACATGATTGAAAGCATGAAAAAGCAAGTAATCTCTAAGCACAAGGAAATAATCAATCCATCGTTCAGAATAGCCTTAAAAAAATTACACAACCAGCTAGCCTCATATATCTGACCACCTCATTTAGGAAGCAAAATGAGATCCTTTCTTGGAAAACGCCTGCTGACCAAATAGCTATTGGTCACAGTGCACTGAGAAAGGAAAAGTGAGGCATTTATGATGGCATCTTCAAAAAGGTTCTTTGACAAACAAAAAACTTCTTTATTGCCTCAAATCAAAATCTACGGTAGGCCTCCTCCACATTACATGCACTTCACTTTAACATGCAAAAAAAAAGAAGTTATTTGGAGACAACTATGTCAAGGGAGTAAAGGGAATCTGGGCAAGAACTTACAGGAAGGCAGTGCGCATGGCCCTACTTTAGAGCTGCTCAGAGGGATGGTCCATGTCCATGTCCTCACTTCTTGATCTTAAGCCACCTAGACTTGTCATGAGGGTATAGAAGAGAAGATGCATAACCCTGTCTCAGACAAAGGTGTTATTTAGCAAGTCTTGCCAAGGTAGCTGGGGCGTGAGGCCAAGGCCTCCTGGGAGGGAATATACTCTCCAGTATCATCTTCACCTTTGTGACTGCATAGATGAAGGCAGCTAACCCTGACCCCATTCACTCTGGCTGGCCAGACATAGGCAGGTCAGGTCACAAGTCTCAAAGCGATAAAGGTTCCCTCTTTCACACTCTGTCAAAGGCACAAAGCTCTATTGTTAACACAGTTCTCTGCTCCTCTCAAGATAAGACTAACAACCTTGTTTTCGACTACACAACTTTCTTCCTCTACACACATCTGCTCTTTCTTATGGCTTTCCCACAAGCGTTTGATCACAGCAGTGCTAAAGAGGGACTGTGGTGATACAATGCTTCGGAACTGTCTTCCAGGTAATCTAAACCCTCCTCCAGCTACTAGTGCGGCTCCCTAGGCTGCCCTCTGCTCCCTCCTACAGCAGACTTCAGAAAAGATGTGGACTGGGTACCAGACGAGGTGGTTATAACCACAAACGATTTAGGAAATTGGAGCCTCATCCTCACAACTGGGGCTCTGGGTTCACCCTCCCTCTGAAATCTTTTCTGCTTGGGTAGAGAAATCTGAATAATGCTTTGAAAAAACCTGGGTTCTACTGTTACTATAACAACTATAATAAGTATTGGGGATTCTAGAATGATATCTCAATAAGTCTTTATGGGTTCAAAAATAATTTTCAATACAAAAACTGAAGGGAAAAACCTAACAGATTAATACAAAGAAAAACTATGAATCAGTCAATCTGGGGCAAGCTCTTCCTAAACCATTTTAACTGACTGGTCACCCAGATTGGTTAGGAGGAACTTAATTCTCAAGAGCTTCAGTTTTATATTTATAGATATAGTACAGTCAAAAATTCTGGAGATTAACTACAATATTTACATAAAACAAGGGAGGGTAGAGGAACAGATTTCAGCTTTACTCATTCTGAAAGGCTGGAGAGACTCTTGAGTAATGACCATGAGCAGCAAGCCCAGCTGTATCTCATGTAGGCATGGTTTATAATATTTTTTTTTATAGAGAGCAGCTGCCTCAAACTTCGTGTTTTAAAATTACTCAGAAGAGGATCTAAGGGACAATGCCAAGGCTGAAATGCCCAAAGTTATCCAATTTTAGGAAATCCCACCCTTGCTCCATTTAATGACATTAAATAATAATATTACCAAGGGTTTTTCTTTCCCTGAGCAGTGTCAGCAAATCATACCTAAGTTATCAGGATAAAAAGCAAATCTTTGCTATTGAGAGAAAACTTGCTTCATTGAACTGCAACTGTTCATTTAGGAACAGAAAAGGCAATCTAATTATAGATAAAACGATATGAAAAATACTGGTATTCCTGGAGAGGCTGATTCTTCTATTCCTAGGCAAGAGCCAGATCAAGCCCATCAGAGTGCGATAAGCCGTTTTCAATTTGCTGGTCAATAGCCAGTCACAAAAGGCCTGCATATCAGCAATGTCTATACCCATAACCAAAGTGTTACCTTGAGTTACCTGTTACTCAGTGTTTTAAAGAACACTGAGGCTGCTTTTGTTTTAGTATCCCTATACATACACATACACACACACACACACACACCCACCCACCCACCCCTGGCTGATTGTTTTGCTTTTGCTCTAAATATTCAGAAGACAGAGATTTAAAAAGGACATATGTTTTGAACTTGTGTTAGATGAGGTTTTAAATTTTTATTAAAAAATAATCATCTGCTCAACTTGCAATTTCACATAGTGTGGATGTAAACAAAACTGGGAAAACCAGTCCATGGGAAGTGTCATTTCTTTTTTTTTTTTTTTTTGTGAGGAAGATCAGCCCTGAGCTAACATCCATGCTAATCCTCTTCTTTTTTTTTGCTGAGGAAGACCAGCTCTGAGCTAACATCTGTTGCCAATCCTCCTCCTCCTTTTTTTTCCCCAAAGCCCCAGTAGATAGTTGTACGTCATAGTTGCACATCCTTCTAGTTGCTGTATGTGGGACACGGCCTCAGCATGGCCGGGAAAGCGGCGAGTCGGTGTGCGCCCGGGATCCGAACCCGTGCCGCCAGTAGCAGAGCGTGCACACTTAACCGCTAAGCCACAGGGCCGGCCCGGAAGTGTCATTTCTAAAATGGTACTTCAGAAGAGTTCACAAAGGAGCCCTCTGACATGTCTAGGGAACTGATGAAAGAAGGGGCTTCCCCACCCCCCACCCCAGATGAGAGAAGTTGAAAAAAATAAGGTCCCTGTGGACCTTAAAGTGAAGGAGAGCAAGAAAAAAAGTATTTTCAGTATCTTTAGACCAAGCAGCAGGGAAGATTTAATAAAACAGAAGAGGCTTTGAAAACAGCAATACTGCAGAGCTCTGACAGCAATTACAATGTCTGAAATGATGGCCCTAGGCAGGAATAATAGTCCTACGCAAACCCAGGGCAGGCAACCAGCCATCTTAGGGGCTACTGTTTAGATTAAAACCTTCAAAAATATGTTAAAACCCTCCAACAATGTTTAAAGTGAGAACAAGTCCTGTTATTCCAGTATATTCCTAAGGTTCATGCCTTCTACACTGTCTTGAGTCACTGGTGCAAAGTGATTGACGGTCTCACTTTAAGAGGCTATCTGTACCATACAGACACACCACACAACTTTCTAAATTGTTGAAATACACATTCCAGCGTTCTACAGAACATAATACCTTTACCTTTAAAATTCAACAGAATTTTCAAACCTAACTTCCCTCAAGAAGTTGTTGCTCTATATTAAACTTACTCCGATTTTCTTGAATCATGACTTCTTACCTCTCTACTCTGGCTGATCCTTCATCAGCTCAAACGGTACCTGTAAAATACATCCTTTTGCCAAGTTTCTGTCAAAGAAACTTGCTTTATTCTACTACTTCTTTTTGAGAAGATAATGAAGACATAATTCCTGAATAATCATCCTTTTTACTAGTACAATATTATTTTTTGCTTATAAGGATTTGTAATAACTACTTCACTACTTGCCTGCTGATTGAAGCGTTTAAGAGTGGTTTCTGCTTGTGGATTGTGGCTATCAAATCTGTCATTGGACTGACTGACTGACTTTCACATTAGGTGAGACTTCCAAAACAGCCGTCTTTTCTATACTGGGATTGGAGGAGACAGGAATATGAGGATATCCAGGTGATGAATTCCCTCCTCGAGTATAAAGAAATGATGATCAGTAAAGACAGCTACTCAAGACTTTTTCTCCCTTCTTTCACAGGTATTACTCACAACCCAATAAGAGATCTTTTATCTCCTTCCCCAATATCCTTCCTATCTTGTTTATTAACAAGCAATACATGCCACCAGATTCCAATCCCCAAAATGCTTTTATTTCTGTCATAAACAAACTGAGAACTGTTAGCAAAAGGTATAGAAAAATAGAGATAGGTGGGCTAAGTCTTCATTATTCTAATGAAATTATGTTTCTTTGTTTTTTTCGTGAGGAAGATTAGCCCTAAACTAACATCCATTGCCAATCCTCCTCTTTTTGCTGAGGAAGACTGGCCCTGGGCTAACATCCGTGCCCATCTTCCTCTACTTTATATGTGGGATGCCTGCCACAGCATGGCTTGATAAGTGGTGCATAGGTCTGCGCCCGGGACCTGACACCGCAAACCCCAGGCCGCCGAAGTGGAGCGTGTGAACTTAACCACTAGGACACTGGGCTGGCCCTGAAATTATGTTTTTTTGAAGAAGGTTTCTGACGTCCCTGAAGCTCCCAACATAAAGTACTACTGTCTGAGATAATTGCTTCAATGCTGGACTCCTACATCCCAAATGACATTAAGGAATTTCATAAATATGCACTTTGGTGTAGTATTGCCCAGACATGTACATTCATTGCAAAGACAACCAATGAGTATTATGGCACCTGCTACCAGGCTAAACCAAAATGCGAGCCTAAGGATTCCCAAAATTTCCTTCACTAGTTGGTCATGACTTGGAAAACTAAGGGAAAATTATTCAAACATTAGGTCTGAACATTTGTTTTTGTATTTCAAAATATGCTGACAGAGACTGACAGTTCAACCTAATGAGTACTGAAAGATGGAGAAATATCCCAGTAATTGATATAGAAGCTAGGAAATCCTCCCTCATCCAATGCCCTTTAGCAAGACTTCCAATTCACAAGGGGATCATTCCACCTTCATCAGTTTCCATTACCCCTGTTAGTTTCAAAATGCTGACATAGAAAAATAGGAGGACGATGGGGAGAAGAGATGCAATAGCTGATGAAATAACACAGAAAGGCATGGATGATGCTTACTGCCACAGGTTCTACAGAGGGCATTTATAAAATATTTACAAATGCAGCTTCCTTTGCAGTTGGGATAAATCACCTGGGGTTCAAAGATGAAAGCAAAAGGATCTGGCAACAGTTAAGAAACCTCCAAAGTTCTATGGAAAGTTTAAACCAATCATGTACATGGTTCAATGAACTAATTTTAAGTAATTCTAAGAAAATCCCTCATTATTTTTTATTTTGCCTTACTGAATATGTTAAAAGGAACTGAGAGTCCAGAAGAAAGTAGGTTATTATGGAAAATATTCCCCTTGGCCCTTAAAATCACTGGGTTTGAGTTAGTCACTTAGAAGTTCTACTATAATCAAGTTTTCCATAAGAAGAGAAGTTTTAGCCACTGAAATTTAAGAGATCTTCTTCAATGGTACCCTGTAGAAAGGGAAAAAAAAAAAGAAAAGAAAAACCTCCTTGTATTCGAAAAGTTATTAGTCTGAAATAAAAGACATTGCTTTCCAAAAACAAGAGAAAAGCCTGGCTAGTTCAAGTCAGAAACCCAGGGTGGTGGTTTCCAAGGCCCTTTTATTAGGGGAAAGTCCCCTTTATAGCACAAGACTTCACATATGTATCAGACAATCAGATCAATTCCTAAAAATTAGGAAAAAATGGGAAAAACAAAACAGATGCAATTTTTATATATATTAAACATAAATTAAAAGAATTTATAAAATGGTCACCTTTCTTACAGAATAAATGCAGAGTGTATTATGAATGCACCTCCAGGTTTAAGTTGTTTATGTTTGTTTTCCAATAATAAATAAATAAAATTGGTTAAGGTTTGGATCCACCTGCTGGGCCACAGGAGGACTCTGAGTCACTACTGGCTTTTCTTCCCTTGTCGCTCCTGTGCACAGCATTTGGTTGTACAGGGGTTACCAGTTTCACTGGCCCATCAGGGTACTGGCTGTCTTTTCGGGGTGGCATCCGCTCATTAATTCGGTCCAGACCTCGGGCTTCTTCAAAACTCCGGATCCTGTGCTGAAGCGAAAACCCCCTGATGGCTACAGAGAAACAGGAAAGGGAGGAGCTCAGTTTGACAGCAAAGTGACGAGCTTAAAGTTTCTTAGCACAAAGCAATCTCCTAGAGAGAACACAGAGGGGGGCTACGGAACACATGTCTGGGGAAGGGAAGGGGCAATGTGTGATCTGAATTAGCCTTATCTGAAGCTACTGCCTCTTTAAGGCCCAAAAGGCACCTGAAACTGAAAGTAATTCTCATAGAAGCTCAATACAGTTAATCACAGTAGAGTACACCTGACAAAAAGCTAGTACGTTCTTACTTAGCTCCCATACATTTGAGAAAGAGTTTCTTAGAGAAAAGGCAACACTAGAATCACAGAACAAGTTAAACAGAGTAGTTACTTTAGCACAAACATCACATTGACCACAAAGAAGTAACAAAAGACCTAGTCCTTTTGTTTACAAGGACAGCTTTTTATCTTGCACAAGGAGGAGCTGAACATAAGTTAAAAGCCATCTACAAAACAGCTTCTAGATGTTTTCTTTCTGATTGAACTTTTGTATCATCAAGGAAAGGCATTCCCTTTTTTTTTTTGCTGAGGAAGATTCGCTCTGCGCTAACATCTGTGCCAATCTTTCTCTATTTTGTATGTGGGTTGCTGCCACAGCATGGCCACCAGTTAGTGGTGTAGGTCTGTGCCTGGGAACCAAACTTGGGCTGCCAAAGCAGAGTGCGCCGAACTTAACCACTAGGCCTCAGGGCTGGCCCCCATTCCCATTTTAAACCACCTTACCTAACAAAACAATTAAATTTATAATATAAGCTTATCAATTCCTACGGTTTTCATCTTGATTCATAGACAATTTGTTACTTAAAATTTGTTTTCATAGAAACAAAGATAATTTAGCTTGACTGCCTGAAGGCAACCTCAGAAATGAATCAAACTAAATTCCTGTCTACTTTTGCATCTACTCTTGATATCCTTTAGAATCACTGGATAAAGAGGCTGACCTGTTTGGATCTCTAGTGACCAAATGGATGTCTCTTGCATATGGAAGGGCTACAGGATTAAACCATTTGATCCCTTGTGACCAGTTGCTTAAGCTTCAACCATTGCATTAAAACTAACAGAGCCCAGAAAAGACTTTAGCTGTGGAGAGGGTCATTTAAATTAACACAAATACAGGACACAAAGGAAACCCTTTGTGAGCATGCTTAGAAATATCTATTCCTTTTGTCACTGTTACAGTTCTGGTGATGCAATAGTAAAAGATTTCAAATGTTACAAAGCTTTGTAAAACTAGTAGACAGACACATGATTACATCTATCATAGGAATATGGCCATACCTTCCCGGGCCTCTACCGCTTCTACTGTGGCTGTAAGAGGCAGGAGCAGTGGCATGCAAAAATGAAGACAGAAAAAGAGTGAGTAAACCAACAGCATTCCTGCCAGCACAGACATCCCAGGGTCCCACTTTTTCGCCTATTCCCATCCATAATAAAAGTTGACTAGTTAGAGAAGCGAGAGGATTATTGCGAAGAAACTAAATTGGGGAGAAATATGAGATGGGGAGAGTTTCTAATATTTTTAACATTTCAGGTGGCATGGGAACCTTTTAGCTAATGGCATCTATAGCTAAGGCAATGGGGTCAGTCAAGCTGACTATAAGAAACGAAGAGTTACGTTGCTTTCCTCCTTTTAAATAGACAGCTGCTAATTTATGTCTTGACATTCACATATCAAAATAACTTGTCGAGTCAAAGAATTTAAAACTACAACCATTCTTTAGCTTGAAATGGCTCAGATGGTATTAAATGAGCTGCTGCTGGGTCCTATTCAACAAAATTATTTAAAACTACTTCTTATTGCTCTTAAGCAACTTACGTGGGGTGCAACTACCCTTCTTAATTACTTAATAAAAAACAGTAGACTTTGAATAACACATGGGCATTTGGAAGGAGAGAAAAATGAAGTTATAAGTGAAGGGTTTTTCTTTCCCGGGGGTGGAATACTAAGCTGGCAAAGGCATAAAACTATTCAATCCCAGATACAAATTCATGTACCATCTGGGATTAGAGATATAGCAGAGGCTGATATTCCCAACCCATATGGCTTCCATTCACTGTGCGAGAGAGCAGGCCAGTTACTAAGAAGGCCATCTTCTCCTTCATGATAGAAAAGGAAGCAACTTAAAAATTAGTACCAACAGGTAAACTTCCTTGCATCTTCTTTTAAAGACAATAACAGCCCTAATATACGAAAAGGTTACAGGTTGTAGCAAGAAAGATCCTATTAGGAGAAGAACGTTGTCAGTTCCTCCAATACCAATTTTTTAAAAGAAGGCAGGGAAGAATGATGAACAGTAATAGTTTGCCGTTCCTGAGGCTTTATATATCAACAATAGAGGAGAAACTGGAAGAACTGAAAGTTAACTTCCTAACGCACCATGAAAAATGGAAACTTGGAATCAACTTATCAAGTGCGTATATTTGCCAACCATATGTAGGCATGTGTTAAAGCAATGTCTACCCTCTCTAATCTCAAATAAAACAAATAAACCATCACAAGAAAATGACAGTGCCTTCAAACAGTACATCACTGATGCAAGTGGGAGAACAAAGCATTGCCTGAAATTGTACACAGAGTGTTGGACTAGAGTTTAAAAGCTATGTGGTAAAATGGGTACTAGTATTACATTGTTTTGGGCCCTCCTAGAATTGCTTTTTCCATTGGGTATTAAGATATCAGCTTGCACTGAGGCTGATATCTTATTATAAGAAACAGACATATAAAACTGAGAAACTGTTTTCTTTTCTTTACCGAAATATATTTTTCTTCACTGAAATATAATTCATATACCATAAAATTCACTTGTTTGAAGTGTACAATACAATGATTTTAATATATTTAGAGTTGTGCAACCATCCCCACAATCTACGGTTAGAACATTTTCATCTTCCCAAAAAGACCCCCATTTTCCTTCCTTATCCCTTCCCCTTAACCCTAGAGTCAACTATTAATCTATTGTCTGTCTCTATAGATTTGCCTGTTCTGGACGTTTCCTATAAATGAAATCATACAATATGTGATTTTAGTGACTGGCTTCTTTCACTTAGCATAATGTTTTCAGGGTTTATTCACATTTAAGCATGTATCAGTACTTCATTCCCTGTTATGACTGAAGAATAGTCCATTGTATGGTCATACCACATTTTGTTTAACCACTCATCAGTTGATGGACATTTGGGTTGTTTCCATTTATTAGCTATTACAAAGAATGCTGCTACAAACATGCATGTACAAGTTTTTGCGTGTATATGCTTTCATTTGTCTGGGGTATATAACTAGGAGTGGGAACTGCTAGGTCACATGGTAACTGTACGTTTAATCATCAAAGGAACTGTGCCAGATTGGTTTCCCAAGTGCTGCAACATTTTACATCCCCACCAGCAGTGTAGGAGGGTGCCAATTTCTCCACATTCTCACCAACACTTGTTATCATGTCTTTTTGATCACAGCCATCCTAATGGGTGTAAAGTGGCATCTCACTGTGGTTTTGATTTGTATTTCCTTAATGTCTATGATGTCAAACATCTTTTCACATGCTTATGGGCCATTTGTGTGTCTTTGGAAAAATGTCTATTCAAATTTTTTACCCACTTTTTAATTCGGTTGTCTTTTTATGATTCAGATATGAGTTATTTATATTTTCTAGATACCAGTCTCTTATCAGATACATGATTTATAAATATTTTCACCCATTCTGTGGGTTGTCTTTTCACTTTCTTGATGGTTCCATTTGCAGCACAAAAATTTTTAATTCTGATGTAGTTCAATTTATAACTGAATTGTTTTGTATCTCATGGTCTTTGTGAATCTTGTTCAGTTCTTGGCTTTCCTCTTTATTTTAGCTACTAGGAAGCATGGAGTCAAGTTTACGGCTGAATGTTAGCTTTTTTTTGTTTTGTTTTCCTTTGCGCTCCAATTTCCAAGCATATTTATTTTACTTCACTGTGTTGAATGTATACTGTAACTTACTCAAATACCTCTTGGAACAAGATCGGGCATAAATGAATGTATGCTATAAAGCCATATGGGATATTGTTGGTTGAAAGTTCTCCATGTAAAGTTAAATGAACAATAAGAGGTCTTTTTTGGCTAATGCTCCAGTTTGCCAATGAACCTGTGGAACTGAGACTCTGATGGGAAAACGACAAAATAAGCTCCTATCAATCAATAAGAGTGAATAAGAAGCTCTAAAAAGCTGGCTCCAACTTTAGTTTTGTTCTTCTTACGCATTCCTAAAGATTTCTATCAATTTTGGAAGTATCAATAAACAATCCTATATTGATTAATAACACTCATATTCAAATTAGGAACAAAGAGAAATTGGATATATTTGGAACTGAGAACAAAAGGTAGACCAAGGATTATAAACAAAACTTCAAATGATACATCCATAAAATTCTCTTTGTTACTCATACCAGATTTGCAGGTTTGCTCTTTCAAGGTCTAGAAAAATCTGGTTCAGATTAAATAAACAACTGTGGATCAGCAAATTTTCAAAACTTTTCAAGTAAGGATGCTTCAGGACATTCCCTTTCTTCTTTACCCATGTTAATTCCTAGTAACTCTAAATTGTCTTGTCAGAGCTGCTGTCAGAATATCTCATAAGACTAATTACCAAACAAAGGAATGGTGTAAAAGTATTTTGCTTACAAGAAACTGCACATTTATTTGAGAGAAAAAAATTCAGTCTGAAATAGTTTATTGATCCTTTCTATGAAACTACAGAAATTAATTATATACTTCCAAGGAGAAAATGTTCATTCTTCTTTCTAAACAGCTAAACTCTAATATTCCAGTATTCAATTTGAAAGAGAAGGAGGAATTGAATCCTATAAAAAGAAAGGGGAAAGAAAAGGGCTTTTTCCTGTTAATCAACAGCAGTGGAATTTCCACAAAAAGCAAAGGATTCCTGTAAGTGGCAAGATGACAAGGAAAAAGAAAAACTTAAGTAGAAACAACTCAATAAAACAAGGGGGCAAAAAAGCAGTGAAACTCTAGTTTAAGCTGTTAGTTGCTTTACCTCTGGTTTTCATGCCTGTAATTAGTTATCCAATGATGTGATCTCAGGTCTCTTCCCCTTGCCTGACCAGATCTATGTTTATTCTAACAAACATCAACCTTTTCATTCCAGGGTTCCATAAAACCCTCTCCTTAGAAGTCAGAGCCCATATAATTTTTAGAACTGACACTCTGGTCGAAGAGGTGACTGTGGCACTGCAGTAGGATATGGCTTGCAGGCAAAGAGGCAGATTCCCTCTCTGATTGAGAAACTCTAACCAAAAAAAATTAAGGTATAAAACATACACAAGTGAGACGTATCATGTGCACAAATCTGAAGTGTACAGCTCAATACATTTTTATATATGTACACACTTGTGTAACGACCACCCAGATAGTGATACAGAACATTCCCACTACTCCAAAAGTCCCCTGTGCCCCTTCTGGGTCAATATTCTCCCACCAGAGGAAGTGCCATTCTGACTTCTATTACCATTGATTAGCCTGCCTGTTCTCTAACATCATATAAATCACACAGCCTGTGCTCTTTTGTATCTAGCTTTTTTAGTTTACCATAATGTCTGTGAGATTCAATCATGTTTTTGCATGTATTCAGTTATTTTTTTATTGCTGACTAATATTCTATGGTACAAATATAACACAATTTATTTATCTATTCTACTATCAATGATATTTGGGTTGTTTCCCGTTGGGGCTAAGGTGAACAATCCTACGCCCATCCTTTGATGGATATATGCACTAATTTCTCTTGGATATATACCAGGTGTGGAACTCCTAGGCTATAGGGTAAACATGTTTTGCTTTACTGCCCAACAGTTTTCCAAAGTGGCTGAATCAATTTATATAAGTCCATCAGCAATGTATCTAGTTCTAGTTCTCCACGAACTCACCAACACTTGGTATTGTCAGACTTTTTAATTTTAGCCATTCTAGTGAGTATGTAGTGGTATCTCACTGTGGTTTTATTTATTTATTTATTTTTTTAAAGATTTTATTTATTTTATTTTTCCCCCCAAAGCCCCAGTAGATAGTTGTATGTCATAGCTGCACATCCTTCTAGTTGCTGTATGTGGGACTCGGCCCCAGGATGGACGGAGAAGTGGTGCCTCGATGCGCACCCGGGATCCGAACCCGGGCCACCAGCATTGCAGCGCGCGCACTTAACCACCAAGCCACAGGGCCGGCCCTCACTGTGGTTTTAATATCCATTTTCCAGATGAGTAACTATATTAAGCATCTTTTCATATACTTATTGGCCATTTTGATACCCTCTTTTGTGAAGTGCCTGTGAAAATCTTTTTACCATTTTTTAAAAAATTGGTTGTTTATGTTTTTCTTATTGAGCTGTAGTTCTTTATATATTCTGAATACAAGTCCTTTGTCAGACATAAGTATTGCAAAAAGCTTCTCCCAGTTTATGGCTTGCCTTTTCCCTCTCTTAATCATGTACTTTTGTGAATAGAAACTCTTAATTTAATAAAATTTATTCATTTTTTATTTTAAGGTTAGTACTTTTTGTGTCCTATTTAAGGACTCTTTATCTATCCCAATGCCTATTCTGCATACTTTCTTCTGGGAGTTCTACTATTTCACCTTTTATATTTAAGTTATAATTCATTCCAAATTAATTTTTGTGTAAGGAGAGAAGGGTCAAGATTCATTTTTCCCCCAGATGGATATCCAATTGGTCCAGTACCATTTATTGAAAGAAGCCCCAATTTTTAATTTTACATTGACTGCTAGGTAATAGGAGCACACATCCCATGAAAGGAGCATTTCTCATACTCACCTGTCTCAATAGTCTGCTTTCCTCCTGAGAGGACACCCAGAGGGAGTGTACCTGTAGGAGTCAGGCCCTTGAGAGTCAGCACACTCTCACTCTCTTCCCTGCAAAAGAAGATCAAAGCTCTGGGTTAATGCCAGGGTGTCTACCACTCAGCAATGCAAACACACTTGAAGGAAGTTCAGAAGAGATACACACAGATGGAGGACAGGTTCTCCTGCTCTCTACCCCTTCCCTGACCCAAAATTTTCTGTAAATATTCCAATTTTAAACAATCAGTCAGGTCTTGCTTTTCAATTAGAGGTACTTAATAGCCAGGTGCCATCCTAATATTTCCCCTATATTATCCCATCGAATCCTCCTAATAACTGTGTGAGGCAGGTCCTGTTATTATCTCTTTTACAGACAAGGAAAATGAGGCACAAGATCACACAGCTAAGAAGAGGTAGAGCAAGGATGTGAACACAGGCAGTCTGGCTCCAAAATCCACATCACACCACCACGTTCACTGCATCTAAGCTTGTACCAAGCAAGTTTGCCAGGACGTTCTAGTCACTTTAACGTGCAAGTCTGATTCAATCCACACACAACCCGAACACCTACAGTTCTAATACCAAGTTCCAATTCTAAAGAACTGTTCTGAAATCAACTTCTAATTTTCTCTCAAAATGCTTTCATCCCACACTGTAATGACAGACTTATCCTTACCGAAGAATTGAAAACACCCGTGCCATCTTCCCAATGGCTCTGATTTTATTCTTGATGATCTCCTTTCGAACTGTAGTGCCTCCTTAGAGAATACAAAGAACAAGTGAGTTAAAGGAATGTGTTAACAGGTTAGTTTTAAAAAATGAAGGATAAAGTGTCTTTCTAAGTTAAAGGGTAGTTTTAAAAAAAGAAATCAAGGCCTAAGTTTGCTTAAACACAAATCTCTGGAAGTTCTAAGAAGCAAAAGAAAAAATAACCCAGAAGAGAAAAAAAATAAGATGAAGTAAAAAAAAGGAGGGACCACAAAAAAGACAGTCTAGGCAAATCTATGAGAGGGAGGAACTTATCTGGGGTTCTGAAATGTAGAACACGGTGAAGGATGAAATACACACATACAAACAAAGACTTGCTACAGCAAAGATCTCTTGTGAGAATCCTATAAGCTACCTTAGGATGCAGGGTTTGACCTGCCAAATGACAAGTGCTGATTCAAGCAGTTGTCTTCTGCATGTAAACACAACACACAGCTGGCTCACCTGAACTTCATGAGGGCTGCTTTCATTCTATAATCCTCACTTACTCACAAATTGGTGAGTTATTTCCTACCACAGACAACTGTGCAGTACAAATTACGATGATGGGTAAGATATTTTATAAAGCAACGTCAAAAAAGTTAATGTAAGACTTTATGGTCTTTTCTCATCTAAGATTCAGGGAACAGCTCACATACGAGAAGCCAAGGTCCAGGCATGCACCAGATGACCACATTCAAAAATCTAAAAAAGAAATATGGCCTCTCCTTTCTCACCCCTCCAGCTTTCAGTATCCTACAGGATCATAAGCAGGTCCACAGAAAACATATACATTAAAACAGAAAGGGAGGATGGAGGGCCTGCCTGAAATTATTCAACTAAAAAAGTCTAATAGACTGTGTGGGACAGAGAGGGAGTATTAAGCTCTTAGCACATGTTAGTGGTATACCTTTCTGATAGCTTGAAATGTAGTGATCTTCAGGGAGAAGAGACACCAAGAAACAAGGAGATGAAGAAATATGAGAAGAAGAATTTAAGTATACATGGAAGAGAGAAAAAAAATCCAAGTGAAATGCAATGAGAGAAGCAGGCTATTATCCTTATCAGCTCAGAAGAGACATCCTTGGTATCATGATAGAATGTTAAATTACAGATCTCTTGTCAGTTTTTCCATTTCTTAAAAGTTCATAGTTTTACATTAATTCACATCTATTATTATCTAACATGTTCTACCCCCACAAATCATGAAAATAAAATTAGACAAAGAAAACAATATTTGTGGAACAAATGATGCTGAAAACAAGGAACAAAAAACAAAGGACAGAACCATGAGCTTACAAATCTCTTAGTAAGAGTATTATGTTTTTGTTTAATGGATTCAATATCTTCCCCTGTCTTTCTGGGGATATTATAGTTTTTCCTTTTTTAAGATTGTATTTTCTTCAGAATCTCAAGTTCATTCAAGGTGCTTTTTGCTGTTTTTGTCGTTGTCTCTCTTAGAAACTTTCCTGAAATGTCTGGTAATCCTTGGTGTCTGCTCATGACTAAGCATGAGGGACCAAAAAGTTTTCAGAGTTGGCGGATGGACTGTTGACTTGGAGCTTTACGTGGAGTGATCAGGGTGGGCCGTTGTTAGGTAATTCTCTGTATCAGTATTGAGTGTGCATAAGGCCACTTAATTCATCTGTTTTACATGGTATTGATGCCTTCAATTGTATCCCTGGTTGAAAAATTCTTTGGTTTACAGTTTATTTAGAGATTAGCCTCCAGATCTGAAGAGGAGGCAGTTGCCTAGTAGCAACTAGGTCTTTAACCGCCATTCCAACAGTTTTCACCTAGAACTAAAATAAGTTCAGTGCCCATCTCCCTCCTCCCCCAACCCACAGTCCCCAACTCTAGCAACTAGTTCTACCAATTTCTTTGCTTTTTGAGGATTCCATGCTGGAACTCAGCATTCCCCATTACCAAGTTGGGCTTTAGCTTTCTTGAATCAGCTAAGTCAGTAAACTAATTCATTTGTTTTCCAGCTTCCAAAAATTCCTACAAAAATCTCTGCCTTTTTTATTGTGAAGTATGATAAACATACAGAAAAGTATGCAAAACAAATGTGTAACTCAATGATTTATTAAAAAGCAAGTGGCCATATAACTACCAGTCAGGTCAATAAATGGCACCTTCCCAGCACCTCAGATGTCCCCCTTGGGCCCTCCTAATAATTAATTCCTCTCTTCCCAAAGTATCATTTTTTTGACTTTTATTGAAATCACTTTCTTGCTGTTTTCTATAGTTTTATCATCGTGTGTATCCACTAGCACTGCAGTTTTCATTGTTTTTCAACTTTATGTAATTGGAACAATCAAATATGTATTTTCATGTCTGGCCTCTTTGGCTCAACATTATGTTTGTAAGAGTCATCCATGTTTTCCCTGTTACTGTAGTTCACTGTCATTATTGTATACAATTCCACTATATGAATACACAACCATTTATTTATCCTTTTTACTTTCAGTGGTCATTTGGGCTGATTCAAATTTTTGGCTATTTTGAATTAGGCTGCTATGAATATTCCTGTGCATTTCTCTTTGCTGCACATATTTCTGTATATATACGTTCAAATTGGGATAACAGTTTGGCATTATCTACTAAAGTGAATGTACCAATTTACAGTTTAGTATATGAGCATTCCTGTTGCTACACATCCTGGCCAACACTTGGTATTACGCATCTTTAATTTTAGCCAATCTAGTGGGTGTGTAGAATCATCCACTGTGGTTTGAATTTGTATTTTTATGATTACAAATGTGGTTGAATATATTTTCATATTTTATTGGCCATTCGGATATCCCCTTTTGTGAAGTGCTTGTTCAAGTCTCATCTTATTGATCTGTAGTTCTTTATATAGTCTGCAGGTGAGCCCTCTGTTGGTTGTGTTGCAAAGATCCTCTACCACTCTGTAACTTGTCTTTTCACGCTCTTAATAGAGTCTTCTGATAAACACAAGTTCTTACTTTTAAGGTAGTCCAATTTATTAATAGGTTCCTGTATGGTTAGTGTTTTTTATGTTCTGTTTAAGAAATTTTCCTCTAGCCCAAGGTCATGAGATATTCTCTATTATAAATTTCTAGAAGCTTTATTGTTTTGCCTTTCATATTTGAATGTATTAATCCATCTGGAATTTCTCAAATAGATATCCCCAAACTATGAAAATATACCATCATGGGGCCGGCCCGGTGGCATAGCAGTTGAGTGTGCGTGCTCCGCTTTGGCAGCCCAGGGTTTGCAGGTTCGGTTCCCGGGTGCACACTGACGCACCACTTGTAAAGCCATGCTGTGGTGACGTCCCATATATAGTAGAGGAAGATGGGCACGGATGTTAGCCCAGGGCCAATCTTCCTCAGCAAAAAAGAGAAGGATTGCCATCGGATGTTAGCTCAGGGGCTAATCTTCCACACACACACACACACACACACACACACACAAAAACATCATTTTCCTACTACTCTGCAATACTACCTCTGGTGTAAATCAAGTGTCCATGTATTTGTTCTGGACTATTTCTGGATTCTCTATTCTGTTTCTTTTTTTTTTGTTTTTGTGAGGAAGATCGGCCCTGAGCTAACATCTGCCAATCCTCCTCTTTTTGCTGAGGAAGACTGGCCCTGGGCTAACATCCATGCCCATCTTCCTCCACTTTATATGGGATGCCGCCACAGCATGGCTTGCCAAGCAGTGTGTCGGTGCGCGCCTGGGATCCAAACCAGCGAACCCTAGGCTGCTGCAGGGGAGCACGCGCACTTAACTGCTTGCGCCACCGGGCCGGCCCCTCTATTCTGTTTCAATGCTTGTCTGTCCTTGCACTAATAATTCTAATTACTTTAGCTTTATAGGAATCATTGGATAAAGAGGCTGACCTGTTTGGATCTCTAGTGACCCAATGGATGTCTCTTGCATATGGAAGATTACTTTAGCTTTATAGTAAGTCATCTTTAAAATACTGAGTCTTCCAATAATCCATGAACATGATATTTCTATTTATTTAGATCTCCTTTAATTTCTCTAATAATGTTTTGTTTTTGTTTTTGTTTTGTGAGGAAGATAGGCCCTGAGCTAACATCTGCCAATCCTCCTTTTTTATTTTTGCTGAGGAAGACTGGCCCTGGGCTAACATCCATGCCCATCCTCCTCCACTTTATATGGGACGCCGCCACAGCATGGCTTGACAAATGGTGCGGCAGCGCATGCCGGGATCTGAACCGGTGAACCCCACACCGCCACCGGCCCCTCTAATAATGTTTTCTAGTCTGTTGCTTAGAGGTATCACACAGCATTTGTTAGATTTATTGTTAGGGATGATATTGTAAATGGCATCTTTCTAAAAATTTCATTTTGTTTGTTGCCGGTAAATAGAAATACAACTAGTTTTTACTAATTGACTTTGTATCCAGCAGCTCTGCTACATGCACTTATTGATTCTAATTATTAATCTATAGACTCTTTAAAATTTCCTCTTTACACAATCATATCCGCTATAAATAATGATAGTTTTGTTTCTTCCTTTCCAATCTTTATACCTTGTATTTCTTTTTCCTTCCTTATTGTATTGGATACCACTCCTAATACAACATTGTATAGAGTTATTGACAGCCAGCATCCTTGTCTGTTCCCAGTTACTGAGGAAAGCTTTCAACATTTCACCATATGATGTTTGCTATAGGATTTTATAGATATGTTTGTCAGATTAAAGAATTCCTTTCTAAACCTAGTTTAAGAGATCTATTATAAATGAAAGATGAATCTTACCTGTTTCTATATCCACTGAGACAATGATTTTTCTTTTTTTCCTGTCAATGCAGTGAATTATACTGATTGATTTTTTAAATAAAATTTTTATTTTAGAATAGTTTTAGATATACAGAAAAGTCATAAAGATAGTATAGAGAGTTCGCACATACTCCTCACCTGGTTTCCATTATTATCAGAATCTTTCATTAGTATATACTGACCAATTTTGAATGTTAAATCTAACATTTCTGGAATAAGTCAATTTGGTTGGGAGGCATAAATTTTTTTTTTTTTTTTGCTGAGGAAGACTGGCCCTGAGCTAACATCCGTGCCCATCTTCCTCCAGTTTATGTGGGGTACCGCCACAGCATGGCCTGACAAGCAATGTGTCTGTGCGCGCCCGGGATCCGAACCCAGGCCGCCAGCAGCAGAGCATGAACACTTAACTGCTACACCACGGGGCCGGCCCCAGGAGGCATAATTTTTTAATGTACATGCTAGTTTCAATATGCCGATGTTTTGTTTAGGATTATTGTATCTATATTAATGTCTTTGTCCCGTTTTAGTATCATAGTTATACCGGCCTCATTAAATGAGTTGGGGAACACTTCTTTTTTATCTCAGGAAGAATTTGTATAATATTGATGTTGTTTCTTTCTTAAATGTTTGGTAAATTTGGTGGTGAAGTTATCTGCGCCTGGCATTTTCTTCATAGAAAGATTTTAAATAACAGATCCTATTTCTTGGTAGGTATGTGATTATTAAGATTTTCTACATTGTGACAGTTTGGGTAAGTTATATTTTTCTAGGAATCTCTCCATTTCATTTAAGGTTTTTTTTTTTTTTTTTTTTAATTTAATTTTTTTCCCCCAAAGCCCCCATAGATAGTTGTATATCATAGCTGCACATCCTTCTAGTTGCTGTATGTGGGACACGGCCTCAGCATGGCCGGAGAAGTGGTGCATCGGTGCGCGCCCAGGATCCGAAGCTGGGCTGCCAGCAGCGGAGCGCGCGCACTTAACTGCCAAGCCACGGGGCCAGCCCCTCATTTAAGTTTTTAAATTTACTGGTATAAATTTTATTCTTGTTATTTTCTTAATGTCTATAGAATCTGTAGCGATGTCTCTTTTTGTAGTACAGTCATGCACCACATAAGAATGTTTTGGTCAATGGCAGATCGCATATATGACAGTGGTCCCAGAAAATTAGTACTATATAGCCTAGGTGTGTAGTAGGCTATACCATCTAGGTGTGTGTAAGTACAATCTATGATGTTCACACAATGACAAAATTACCTAACAACGCATTTCTCAGAAGGTATCCCCGTCATTAAGCAATGCATGACTGTACTGGCATTGGTTTTTTGTTTTTTTTTTTTTAATTGTGAAATTTTTGTTGTACATTATTGTTGGTCAGTCACCATATAAATGCATCCCTCCATCCCTTGTGCCCACCCCGCACTCCCCTTGCCCCTGGTAACCACCAAACAGTTCTATCTGACCATGTGTTGGTTTATCTTCCACATATGAGTGAAATCATGCAGTGTTTGTCTTCCTCTGTCTGGCTTATTTCACTTAACATAATACCCTCCAGGTCCATCCATGTTGTTGCAAATGGGATGATTTTGTCTTTTTTTATGGCTGAGTAGTATTCCATGGTACATACATACCACATGTTCTTTATCCAATCATCAGTCAAGGGACACTTGGGTTGCTTCCATGTCTTGGCTATAGTGAATAATGCTGCGAGGAACGTAGGGGAGCATAAGCCTCTTTGTGTTGTTGATTTCAGATTCGTTGGGTAGATACCCAGTAGTGGGATAGCTGGATCATAAGGTACTTCTATCTTTAATTTTTTGAAGTATCTCCATATTGTTTTCCATAGAGGCTGTGCCAGTTTTCATTCCCACCAGCAGTGGATTAAAGTTTCCATTTCTCCACAGCCTCTCCAGCATTTGTTGTTTTTTGTCTTGGTGATTACAGCCATTCTAACGGGTGTAAGATGACACCTTAGTGTGGTTTTGATTTGCATTTCCCTGATGATTAGTGATGTTGAGCATCTCTTCATGTCCCTATTGGCCATCTGTCTATCTTCTTTGGAGAAATGTTTATTCATTTCTTCTGCCCATTTTTTGATCGGGTTGTTTGTTTTTTTGTTGTTCAGTTGTATGAGTTCTTTATATATTATGAAGCTTAATCCCTTGTCGGATACATGGTTTGCAAATATTTTTTCCCAGCTGGTGGGTTGCCTGTTCATTTTGATCCTGGTTTCATTTGCCTTGTAGAAGCTCTTTAATCTGATGAAGTCTCACTTGTTTATTTTTTCTTTTGTTTCCCTTGTCTGAGTAGACATGGAATTTGAAAAGATCCCTTTACGGACAACGACAAATAGTGTACTACCTATATTTTCCTCCAGGAGTTTTATAGTTTAAGGTCTCACCTTCAGGTCTTTGATCCATTTTGAGTTACTTTTTGTGTATGGTGAAAGAAGATGGTCTACTTTCATTCTTTTGCAAGTGGCTGTCCAGTTTTCCCAGCACCATTTATTGAAGAGACTTTCATTTCTCCATTGTATGTTCTTAGCTCCTTTGTCAAAGATTAGCTGCCTGTAGATGTGAGGTTTTATTTCTGGGCTTTCAAGTCTGTTCCATTGATCTGTGTGTCTGTTTTTGTACCAATACCATGCTGTTTTAATTATTATTGCTTTGTAGTATGTTGTGAAGTCAGGGATTCTGATGCCTCCAGCTTTGTTCTTTTTTCTCAGGATTGTTTTATCTATTTGCGGTCTTTTGTTGCCCCATATGAATTTCAGTATTCTTCTATTTCCGTGAAGAATGTCCTTGGGATTCTGATTGGGACTGCACTGAATCTGTAGATTGCTTTAGGTAATATGGACATTTTTAACTATGTTTATTCTTCCAATAGAACATGGAATATTTTTCCATTTCTTTATGTCAACATTGATTTCTTTCAATAATGTCTTATAGTTTTCATTGTATAGTCTTTCACTTCCTTAGTTAAATTTATTCCTAGATATTTTATTCTTTTTGTTGCAATTGTACATGGGATTATCTTCTTGAGTTCTCTTTCTGTTAGTTCGTTGTTGGTATATACAAATGCAACTGGTTTCTGCAAGTTGATTTTGGACCCTGCAACTTTGCTGTGGTTGTTGATTATTTCTAATAGTTTTCCAATGGATTCTTTAGGGTTTTCTCTACATAAGATCATGTCATCTGCAAACAGCAAGAGTTTCACTTCTTCGCTGCTTATTTGGACTCTTTTTATTCCTTTTTCTTGCCTAATTGCTCTGGCCAGAACCTCCAGTACTGTGTTGAATAAGAGTGGTGAGAGTGGGCACCCTTGTCTTGTTCCTGTTTTCAGAGGGATGGCTTTCAGTTTTTCCCTGTTGAGTATGATGTTGGCCGTGGGTTTGTCATATGTGGCCTTTATTATGTTGAGGTACTTTCCTTCCATACCCACTTTGTTGAGAGTTTTTATCATAAATTGATATTGGATCTTGTCAAATGCCTTCTCTGCATCTATTGAGATGATCATATGGTTTTTATACCGTTTTGTTAATGTGGTGTATCACATTGATTGATTTGCGGATGTTGAACCATCTCTGCGTCCTTGGTATGAATCCCACTTGATCATGGTGTAGGATCTTTTTAATGTATTGCTGTATTCAGTTTGCCAATATTTTGTTGAGGATTTTTGCATCTATGTTCATCAGGAATATTGGTCTGTAGTTTTCCTTCTTAGTAATGTCTTTGTCTGGCTTTGGTATCAGGGTGATGGTGGCCTCGTAGAATGTGTTGGGAAGTGTTCCATCTTCCTCTATTTTTGGAATAGTTTGAGAAGGATAGGTATTAATTCTTCTTTGAATGTTTGGTAAAATTCTCCAGAGAAGCCATCTGGTCCTGGACTTTTATTTTTTGAGAGGTTTTTGATTACTGTTTCAATCTCTTTACTTGTGATTGGTCTACTCAGGTTCTCTATTTCTTCTTGATTCAGTTTTGGGAGGTTGTATGAGTCTAGGAATTTATCCATTTCTTCTAGATTGTCCAATTTGTTGGCATATAGTTTTTCATAGTATTCTCTTTTAATCTTTTGTATTTCTGTGGTATCTGTTGTAATTTCTCCTTTTTCATTTCTAATTTTATTTATTTGAGGCTTCTCTCTTTTTTTCTTGATGAGTCTGGCTAAGGGTTTGTCAATTTTGTTTAACTTCTCAAACCACCAGCCCTTTGTTTCATTGATCCTTTCTACTGTTTTTTTTAATTTCAATTTCATTTATTTCTGCTCTGATTTTTATTATTTCCCTCCTTCTGCTGACTTTAGGCTTTGTTTGTTCTTCTTTTTCTAATTCTGTTAGGTGTAGTTTGAGGTTGCTTATTTGGGCTTTTTCTTGTTTGTTAAGGTGGGCCTGTATTGTTATGAGTTTCCCTCTCAGGACCACTTTTGCTGCATCCCATATGAGTTGGTATGGTATATTTTCGTTTTCACTTGTCTCCATATATGATGATTTATCCTTTAATTCATTCATGATCCAATGGCTGTTTAGTAGCATGTTGTTGAGTCTCCACAGCTTTGTCACTTTCCCAGTTTTTTTCTTGTAGTTGATTTCTAGCTTCATGGCGTTACAGTCAGAAAAGATGCTTGTTATGATTTCAATATTCTTAAATTTATATAAGCCTGCCTTGTTTCCTAACATATGGTCTATTCTTGAGAATGTTCCATGTGCGCTTGAGAAGAATGTGTAATCTGCTGTGTTTGGATGGAGTGCTCTATATATATCTATTAAGTCCATCTCATCAAGTTTTTCGTTTAAGTCCATTATTTCCTTATTGATTTTCTGTCTGGATGATCTGTCCATTGATAAAAGTGGGGTGTTAAGATCCCCTACTATTATTGTGTTGTTATTAATATCTCCTTTTAGGTTTGATAATAGTTGCTTTATGTACCTTGGTGCTCCTGTGCTGGGTGCATATGTATTTAAAAGTGATATGTCTTCTTGGTGGAGTGTCCCTTTTATCATTATATATTGCCCCTCTTTGTCTCTCATTACCTGTTTTATCTTGAAGTCTACTTTGTCTGATATAAATACGGTAACAGCCGCTTTCTTTTGTTTGCCATTAGCTTGGAGTATTTTCTTCTATCCTTTCACTCTGAGTTTGTGTTTGTCTTTAGAGCTGAGATGTGTTTCCTGGAGGCAGCATGTTGTTGGGTCTTGTTTTTTAATCCATCCCACTACTCTGTGTCTTTTGATTGCAGAGTTCAGTCCATTCACATTTAGGGTAATTATTGATATATGAAGGCTTACTGTTGCTATTTTATTGCTCTTTTTCTGGTTCTTTTGCATTTCTTTTGTTTCCCGTCCCACGTGTTTTGGACTACCGATTCAGTTTGGTAGTTCTGTATGAAGGTTCTCTTAGTTTTCTCTTTCTTTATGATGTGTGACTGTTCTGATTATTTGGTTAGTGGTTACCATGAAGTTTGTATAAAAAATCTCATGGATGTGATAGTCCTTTTTTTTTTTTTTTTTTTTTTAGGAAGATTAGCCCTCTGCTAACATCTGCCCATCCTCTTTTTAATTCTTGCTGAGGAAGACGGTTCCTGGGCTAACATCCGTGCCCATCTTCCTCCACTTTATATGGGA